TCTTCTTTTTCTTCTTACCACCGCTGGCCTTCTCGCCACCACCGCCACTACCGCTCCTCGTTGGCTCGATGGGAGTCGGCGGGACGCTGGTATCTTTACCACTTTTCTTTTTCTTCTTCTTGCCGGTCTGCTGTCCCCAATCTTCTTCTCCCTCTTCATTAGCTCCTGCCTGACCTTCTCCGGCACCCTCAGCACCGCCTTCGCCATCTTCAGCACCCTTCTCTTCCGCGTTTTCTTCTTGGGCTTCCCCAGCTTCCCCAGACTCGGTCTGGGCCTGAGGGTCCAACGACAGAGTGGGTTTTTCTTCCAATGTCACAGGTGCAGGTGCAGGTTCACCCGGCGCCTCGGAAGCGTGAGCCCAGCCATCCGCAGTTCCAGTGTCCAGCGAAGCAGTTTGCTCCGGTTCGGTTGTCACAGTAGCAGCCGCAGGAGGTTGTTCAGTGAGTCCGTCCTCTAGCTGAGAAGTGATACCGTCCAACGGAATGTCATCGAGACTGTCCACACGCGTCTCTGATGCCTTCGGTTCACTCTTCCCGTGGTCGCCTGTACCAAGGAAGCTACTAAAACCTCCGAGTGCCCCTGTGAGACCCGAGCCGAACGCTTTCGGAGACGAGAAAGGCCATTTATTGGAGCCGCCCACTCCCCAACTAAGTGATGGCAGCGATGAGGCTCCCGCAGCGGGTCCAGCCTTGTCAGCCTTGCCACCCGACGGCGAGACGAGGTCGGTCCAGCCGTCCCCTCCGCTCTGGCCTCCCGATGTCCAGTCACCGCCGGTGACGTTATTGTCCCAACTATCAAATGCACCAGACACGGCACTTTCCTGGGTTTGGTTCTCCATATTCGATTGGGTCGTGTGGATATCTCCTGCAGGTTCTTGAGAGACTCCACCGGTTGTAAACTGGTCCGGTGGTAGAGAGTCTGCCGGAGTATGTGCAACGCCTTCGGTACTTCCGACATACTGGTGCTGAGGAACCTCTACGGAAAGGTTCTTCGTGGCGTCATCGACGGTCTGTTCTACAATGAGAGATTGTCGAGCTTCACCGAGCGCCGGCGTAGCCGGGGTAGACAACTTGGCCTGCACATTCCGCGGTGTGGCCTTACGCGACTCGGTAGGCAATAGATTCCCTGTCTTGGGCGTAGTGGGCCCAACGGATCTCGGTGCAGGCCAGGGTGAAGCAGCAGGCGTAACCGCTTTGGACTGGGATCCCCAGACAGAGGTAAGTGTTTCACCAAGTCGCCCAGGACTCTTCCCAACAACTGAATCGGCAAGGTCGATGGGAGAATTCTGCTTGCTCGTTCCTCGTGGAGTCTTCGATTTGTCTCTTGCTTGCAGTCGTTCTTTCCGCTCCTTCTCCTCCTTCTCCCTTTGCTCTCGTTCCCGCTCTTGTCTTTCCCATACCTCCCTCCCCCTCTGTTCTCGTTCCCGCTCTTGTCTCTCCCACTCCTCCCTCTCCTTGAGTTCGCGTTCCTTCCTTTCTGCCTCTTCTCGTTCTCGTTGCGCTCTTTCATGTGCCTGCCTTTCCTTCTCCTCATTCTCTTTCCGTTCCCGCTCTCTTTCTCTCTCCAATCTTTCTCTCTCCTTCTCCCTTCTCTCGTGTTCCTGCTTCTCTTTCTCTCTGGCTTTCGCTTTTTCTCTCTCACTCTCCCTGCCACGCTTTTCGTCCACTACGGATGCAGTTGTAGACACTTTCGTTGTCGACGAAGATACCTTACGATCACGTTCGAAATGAGACACTGAGGAAGAGATTCGTGAAGAGGAAACCGTGTGTTCAAATTCGAGCTCTCTCGTGCGCTCCGAGTACACAGATGCAGCAGTTGCGGAGGCTTTAGCAGCCGTTGCAGATTGTGAGATGGAGGTAGTCCGGTGTCGGTTTGGCAGCTCTGCGAAAGTCTGCTCCTGTCTCGGACCCCCTTGTGGCGTCTTCGCACCTGATGTCATTGAGTCTCGCGAATGTGTCCGCGAAGGCGCGACTGAAGGGGCACGAGACACGACACGAGACGCAGGTCGGGATGGACCGAAATCATCTTCTGGGTGGGAGTCTAGCTCGTCCTCGTCTGCACGGTGACCGCCCTCGTTGTATACAATTGAAGCCGGGCCACTAGTACCTCCTGGTAAGTGAATCGTGTGAAAGGTATTCGCATGAACTTACTATTTCGTCCGTCCCTGGAAGCCGCAAATTCACACGTTAGTCAGATGTACAACGGAAATGACACAGAAAGACGAACATTATCATTCCACTTGATGCGGGCCCTGAATTCAGTAAGGCCGAAGTGGATCTCAATACTGAATACGATAGTCCAATATGTCTTGCCGTTCTTGCCCTGCTTGGGCTCGGCGCTGCCACTTAGGGGTGACAAATCCGCGCGAACAACACACAGTGTCGAAAAGTCCTCTGGAACGGTGACTCAGTCGAAAGCTAACTTATGGTCTAAGCTTGACACACCGGCATGCCTGTGTATCCAAAGCGGAACGATGTCACCACCACGGTAGCACCATATTTCGACTTCGAATACGGATAGGGTAGATAGGTTTGTCAGTTCTGTGCAGTACTTGCGCGTGAATACAGTGGACTCTTTGACTTTGACACCCTATGGGAAGCGGATGAGCCCTGGCAAAGATCATTGCTGACACCGCCACCAAGACACTCACCCGCGCAAGAATACAATCGAAAGCATCTGGGAGAAGGCGGGGACCCGAAGGTAATTCACAAAGGCGATCCTTGCGCGCAACGTGGTCGGAATCATTAGGATCATATTCCCGCAGGTACTCCACTCCATACATAAATTTGGAGACCCTGGCCGAGACATGATGGTCGCAGTAAAAGCCGAGGGCTCCATCGGCGACAGCTTTGGATCTGAGAAGAGGATCCCGTAAGTATGATACGTCGCGTCCACCGCACCGATCAAGGGTGACCAGACACGCACGTTTGGCTATCTGGACGACTGACACGGATCTTTAGGGACGCCAAGCGCTCTTGAAGTTGACTGAATAGCCAGGGACTGGCAGCGAATCCTCCCACCAGCCATACAGACTTGTGAGAAAATGAATTCAGGGTTTTCCCTTCTTCTACCAATCAAATTACACCACTTGCCTTGACCATATCCTGAGATGCTTCCACCTGGCTTTTGATTGACGCCACGGCTGCTTGAACCGACGGTTCGAACAACTCCGCCACCTCCGCACTGTTCCGTTTGGGGTTAAATGGAGAAATGCAACAAAACGTGTGCCTACCCGGTCAGCTTTAAAGAGCCACCTCGTATCCCGACAGACAGATCTTTGTCGAGGGGCGAACCGAAGGGGACCCATTGGATCTCGTTCTTATCACGGAAAAGTCGTTTCGTTGTTTCATCAAAACGTTTTGTGATGTGATCGATGGCGTCCGCAGTCCCATATTTCGAGTTCTTCAACTTCTCTGCAAGATCGCTGTTGGCCCTTTCTTTTTCATACTACAATCCTGCTTACCTGCCAGAAACTCTCTCGCCCTTCGGCTGACGAACACCGATCCAGCAAAAATACCTATGTAGGGCAGGTTAAACTCTTTTCGGATGGAAAGAGGGAAAGACACGCCACTCACAGTCTGGCGGCGCTATTTCTTCAATCACAAGGGGTTGCGTGCCCCTTACCGCGTAAGAACTAATGTCTAAGGTACCACCACCGGCATCAGCAACAAGGAAGCCGTGTCTCGAGGGATTCTGTAACAATTCCCATAAATATCGAATGCGATTAGCACGTAAGGGATAGTGTATGCAGAAACTACGTACCGAGAGAACATCTGCGGCAAGACCACTTTGAATACAAGCATGAAGACTGGCTTCACCCTCCGTTACGAAACGGATCCGTGCGCGACCTTCGTCAGTGTCAGGAACCAATCCCCCATATACCGCAGCTCGTCGCATCTTCGTCTGTTGCCCGCCTTCCCACCCATTTGGATGACTCAGCACGAACTCTATACCGTGCTCTACAGCACGCCAAAGTGCTTCGCCGTTGGCGTGAGTGTCAATTATGAAGTTCCGTGTGCAACGGAATAAGTAATTTAGAAAATCTCCAAACACATCAACAGCCATCTTGTTCCGGGGTAGTGAGCTGAGGCGCATCCCGTTCATGTTCAATTTCATAGCTTTCGGTCGCAAACGAAGCTTGAAACTGTGTGGCATAATCATGCCGTGGAGCCTCAAAGACAATGAAAACGTACAGTTCAGCCTTTATCCAGTATTCATCTTCTGCCTGTGAGATAATGGACGCGCCTTCCGCCTCGGCTCCTGCGGCCATGACTGTACCATTCTGGTCGTAATACAAGATGGATGGTATTTTGGAGTTGCCTGCGACATGTTCTTGCCCCGGAAAGCTGGGGCCACTCAGCAAAAGCAAGTGGAACAGCAGCAGCCAGACCATACCGCGTCACCCCATAAATCTTGGGGACTTCGCCGGGTTCTAAGATTGCGTATGATACGCCACTGAAAGTTGTCCCAACATCGAGTGCGATTACAAGTGAACGCGAGGGACCACCGTAGGGCTTCCGCACGTCAGAGGTTTGTTTCATGGTAGCACAAGCGCTCAGATGTGAGTGATACGACGAGCCAGGGAGTTAGTGAGGATGGGTATGATATATAGTGGAGGAATCATATATCCCCCAGGGGTGACGTAGGAACTGGAAGGATCACTGATCCACGCGGACACGTCGCGACAAGCCAGGCAGTGCTGACTGACTGGAAGTGACTATTTGCAGAGGAGCTGCGGATGTCCACTTCGCCCTTTGCAATTGGTCCGGGTCCGGGAGGAGGAGAAGAAAAAAACGACAGAAGCAGGCAAGTACAGCTTCCACGAGGTCGTATCTACATTCTTGTTTCATTTAGCTGCGTAGGTTTTCGGGAACCCATCTGCATCTGGCCATCCAAGGCCGAGTCCGCCACGTTCATCTCGGACACAAACACACGATTGCAACGAGGCAACAAAAACTTGACCTGGGTTGGCAAGTCTGCAACTGCCTCAAGGACAGCTGTGGGAGCGGACGCCCATACGAACACGCAAGCCCCCCCGTTTTCGGGTGGTGGATGGTCCCTCTGCTGCCCTTATATCCCCCCTTCCTCGCTAACAGTAGAGATCAAGCGATTATCGAGCTCCGTGTTCGGTCTTGTCCGTCTTTGTCGCTATGCTCCCTGTCGCTAATTTGCACCTCAAAGACTTGTACGAAACCACCGTTGAATTCTTTACCCTACGCAGTCCTGCCTTCTCCTACCGCTCTGTCCCCAACGACGACCCGGATTCTGAACCCCCCACTCCCTCGGACATATCCCCAGCTTCCGACCCCGTGGCAACACGCCAGAACGAGTCCGCAAATTTACGTGTGAAGCGTACGGCTGCCAAACGTGCTCGTGGCCCCACCGCATGCTCTTGTCGTTCCTTTACCTCAGCTGCCGCCTCAACACTCTATACCATGCGACGAGAACACGACCGCACGAAATCAGAGCTAGCTCGATCTCAGGCGGACTCAGCCAGTTTGGAGGAGAAATGTAAGTCACTCGAGAAGACGCTGAAGGAGACAAAAGATCTGTTGAGAGCGCGAGATCTCGAGATTGAAGCTCTCAAGCAGGACAAGGCAAAACTGATCGCTGACCGCCGCTCTCTCTCGAGGCCACCCTCTAGTCTCGATCGGAGGCGCAGCCACGATGTCATTCATCACAGATCAAACTCTTCGCAGTCTCTGTCGCAACGCATCCGGCTTGGTCCTGAGTTGGCTGAGCACCGTGATGGCGATGCAGCCTCTCAAGCAGGTAGCAGTCGTCACCGAGCTAGTAGCGATGCCGTACGTGACAATATATCGACCATCTCGGAGGAAGAACGCGCACATACGAGAAGTATGGAGGTTTTCCTCACAAAGACGGATCTTTGGTCTGGGGCGCAAGTCATCCAAGCGGTCCAGGATCTCAACTCCGAGATTTTGCAGTTTGCCGCATCCGCAGTGGAGGTCTGTACGTTCACCAAGCAGCGGACCTCTCACTCAAAGATTGGCCAAACTGTGAACGACGTCACAACGAGACTCGGGCCTTCCCTTTCTCGCATGTTATCTACCCATGACCATTCTCAAGATCCAATGCTTGTTCAGCTTGCTCTGCAGGGCTCCATCGCGTTTTGTATTTCACGGGCCCTGTCATCATTTTGCATCGGGTACCAATCCAAGGGGAACATCACACTCACACAAATATATACCCGCATGTTCCAGTCCGGTGAGTGATCTATCTATTACACTATTACAATCGTAGTAATCGGTGGCATTCCACTCTAGAGCCGCAGCCAATGTCTTCGCGCTGGAGAGCTCTCACACACAAACACATCCATGAACTCCATCCCGAGCTTAGCAACTATGCTGTGAACGAAATGACGGATACTATTTTGCGCTGGACCCTAGACGTTTTCCTAATTTGCGGCTGCACTAATCCCCAACCCAACCCAACCTCTCGGGAAGCATTCCGTACCCGCTTCCAATCACAAGTCAAAAGGATCTCGAAGAATGCTTGCGCTTTAGCCCAGATCTCACGCGAAGAGATCATGTCGGCGAACTTTGAGGTTGTTGGGGCGGAAAGTGGTAGAGCGTTTGATACGCAAGAGATGGTGGATGTCTTCGAGGACTACGGTGCTTCTAAGGGTGCAGTGTTATGTACCACTGAACTCGGATTAAGATGCTCGACACGTAAGGCTACAACGGAGACCGCTGCTATACCGGAGGAGAATATCGAACGACGTCTGCTCCTTCGGCCGAAGGTCGTCTTGGACTCGGCGATGGATGTGATAGACCAGCGATGATCAATTTCAATGACCTGTTACTGGACTATTCGTACTCTTCTAATTGCTACAGTATCTTTCTCTTCTTTCTTCTCTCGCAATTGTATTTCCTCACCCAAAGACGTCCAGTCTATCTGTACCACCTCATCTGTTTAGTAGTAGGCTTACATCGAGTACGGTCAAGAGGTCAAATTGCCTTTTTTGTACAGCTATGTACTTTTTATTATGATAGGTCAAAACATTCCTGCGGGAAATTATGAAGTATGAGTGCAGCCAATAATCAGAAACGTGGGTTGAATCTGCCCAAGGCGTTGCGGGATCACATTGAACGCGAGAAAGCGTCGTCTAGTGCGTACTTACCTCAGTCTGCACTTCCGTGGGGCATTCACAGAAATCATAGGTGCACAAGGCGGCCTATGGCGAAGCAAAGGCAAAAGTAACCCGCTTTCACGCAAGGACGTACGAAAGCAAGAAAGACAAGAGCGTAAGAAGCGCAAGGCAGACCACTTTTCGAACCGCACGAACTCTGTCAGGCTTGATACGGAAGAGGACCTCGCTCCGAAGTCCAAGCGACGCAAAACCATACATTTTGTGGAGCATGAACAAGTAAATTATTCAGGTCCAAAGGAGAGCGTGACATCTTCACATCGTACAAACCCACAAGCTGGCGAATCCTCGCAACCATCGAAGAAATCAGAGAAGAAAGCAAAATATGACAAGAGTTCCTCAAAAGTTACACAGCGGTCCCAAGAACAGAAAATCGTGCCTGTTTTACCCAAGTCTCAGGAAGAGGAGGAAGAGGATGCTTGTATTGCATACTACGAGGCGATGTTGGGTTACAAGGGAGGGAAACGCAAGAAGAGCGATGCACTCGACGGGCTTGATGGTACGTCTCCGGTTGTCTAAAACGAATTCGTAATAATGCGTCGATTCCTTCTAGATTTACTTGACTTTACTGATTCCCTTATGACCGGTGGGACGATGGTATGTTGTGCTAATGTCTGTCTCCGTGCTTTTCCTTCTTATGTTCACAGGCCGCAAATGACGCTGAAGGCGATCCAGAAAGTGTAGATGGATCTGATTCGCAGGGGGGATCTGCATCAGAATCAGGAGACGACTCACGGAGGGATTACAAAGATGAAGAAGATGACGAGTGGACAAGCTCTGGCTCGGACGTCATTGATGTCGACGATGATAGCCGTAGTACTCACGAACTTGACGAAGTATCGCCTGAAAAGGAGACAACAAACTCTGCAGGCAAGTACAGTGTCGAACGAAAGACGTCGCATTGTCCATATCATTTTCACAGGACGTTACGTCCCGCCGGCCCTCAGAGTGCAGACGGATAGTCACGAGGACCTTACCAAGCTCACCCGCCAACTGAAAGGCCTACTGAATCGGTATATGCCCCTTGACATGGTTGTTCTCAAGCCGGCGGCTCATTTGTGTCGTCAACAGGATGAGCGAGCAAAACATGGCAACAGTTCTCGATAGTGTCGAAGAACTATATCGCAAGCACCGTCGGAATGGTAAGCTTTCGAACTCGCCTGATTTTTAATAATGTGTCAATACCTCCAGACGTAACGTCTACTTTGACCACCCTGATTACCGATGGCATCTCGTCTCATGCCATGCACATTGAGTCGTTCGTGGTTCTGCATGCGGCATTCATATCCAGCATGCATAGGTTGATAGGCATGGAGTTTGGTGGGTTCATTCCCCTGTTTGTATGGTGGTAAGTAACCTTCCATGCGCGGATAGCTGCTTTTGTTGTCCAGCACGTCGTGACCTCCTATGAACGACACCTGTCTGTTGCGGAGGATGGGCCATCCCGTGATTCCGGTCCCTCTGAGGACGTAGGCAAAGAATGCTCCAACCTCATCGTGTTGTTGGCCGAGTTATACAACTTCCAAGTTATTGCATGTGTCCTTATGTACGACTTGATCCGGGAGCTGCTCAGCAGAGACTTGTCAGAACTCCGGGTTGAGCTACTCCTTAAAATCCTGCGAAGTAAGGATGACTCGTAATACGCGGATGGCCGTGACTGACATCCACCTTTAGGCTCTGGACAACAGCTACGACAAGATGACCCTTCGGCACTGAAGGACATCGTCACCTTGGCGCAGTCTTGCATTGCGAAGCAAGGAGATAACCTAAGGTACGCGAATGACCCTGGTTCTCATTTTTATTTGACCTCATTTCGACAGTTCGCGTACCCGCTTCATGATGGAGACTCTCACAAACCTCAAAAGTAACAAAGTAAAAAAGACCGCAGCCGCTCAGCACCAAGGAGGTGATGGGGTAGAACGCTTGAAGAAGTTTCTCTCGGGGCTCAGTAAAAAGCGTCACGGTTGGTACATGCTCTGTGGTACATTTCATTGAGAGACTAATTTTCCTTTCCAGTACAAGCACACGAACCACTTCGCGTCTCCTTGGAAGATCTCCGCACCGCGGAGACCAAGGGCAAGTGGTGGCTCGTAGGCGCCGCTTGGGCTGGCGATCCTCTCGCTGACCGTCAACAAGTTGCTTCGAAGAGAACTTCAGAAGTCACGGATAGCTCGGAGAACCATTCTCTGCTGAAGCTTGCGCGGAAGCAAGGCATGAACACGGACATTCGACGAAGTATTTTTGTCGTACTGATGAGTAGCGAAGTGAGAAATATGCGAGCCTTTGGATGCATGAACTCTGACTCCGTACACAGGATTACATGGATGCATGCGAGCGGCTATCCCAGCTCAATCTCACTGAAGTGCAACAACGAGAAATCGTTCGGGTGTGCCTGCATTGCTGCAGCAATGTAAATTCATTCTCTCCCTTTGTTTTCCACGCTTACGCACCCGTATTTGAAGGAAAAGTCCTACAATCCATACTATGCCCTCATCTGTCAGCACTTCTGCCAGTTGTCGCACTCCTACAAGGTTACACTGCAATACTGGTTCTGGGACTTCCTCCGTGACCTTGGTGAAACTAACGTCGGCGGCACTGAGGTGATAAAAAACCTCAAGGATGACGAAAGCCGCCTAGAAACTAAGAGTATATCTTCCTCTCGAATGAGGAATGTCGCCAAAGCGTACGGATGGTGGATAGCGAAAGACGCTTGCTCTCTTCTGATTCTGAAGGTGAGACAACCGACGGTCTTTGGCACACGCCACTGATTGGAACTGCCGCGCAGCCTGTCGACTTCACACTTTTGAAGCCTCAGACACAGAAATTCTTCAAGCAGCTCTTCGCACAGATATTTGTCGCAACGCAGGGATCGTCGCCGATGCTTTCAGACCGACTTGACGACATAGAATCACGAAATCGCGGAGTAATTGAAGACACCTTTATCAGAGCGACGAAGATCGAAAATCTTGGCCTTGGCTTGATATTCTTCCTTTCACACGCGTTCAGTGAGGAGAGTGGGTTCTTGCAGTGGGCGGGTTCGGTAGCAAAGGAAACCCTACAAAGCGGAATGGGTTACATTCCACGGATCTAATCCTCAAGTCGCCGCTGGCTTGACGAACGCAACACTAGAGCATATACTTCCGCTTCTGCCGCCAAATGTATATGTCTGATGTTGTATGCGAGAGCTTGACTCACGTCAGCCAGTGTAGCTGTCAGTATTGGTGCCACACTCACTGATAACGCAAGCCTGTGGCAGGCGTCGTGAATTTGTCTTGGAGCTCGGCTTCTGTAAAGTTGCAAGCTGTTAGGAAGCATGAGTTGAGGTATTGGTATGACATTCAGATTGCAATTGACATGTAATGAGGAAGTGTGCACCGGGCTTTAGCAACCTAGCTACCCGTAAAGGATAACCGTCAACGGGTGCCTTGCCATGGTTGTCCTTCTGCATCAAAGCAATCGCATCGAACGTTCCCTTGTCCAGTATGAGATCCCAGGCCGCCCCATCCACCGTACGTATGTTAGTAAGTAGCGGAGGTTCTTCATTAAGGAAGTCACAGCAGTGAAATTGTATCCCTTCACGGTTGCGTGATTTTGCAATGGAAGATGCGAGGGTGATGGCTCCTTCAGAGTAATCGATTCCTAGTAGCGTATCGGCGGTGTATCCGGCTTCCGCGAGAGCGAAGAGGAGAGTACCGTTTCCACTGCCTACTTCGAGAATGGACGGGTCGTTCTCTGGAGGGACATTCTGAACAGCCCAATTGACCATTTTATCCACTGAATCTTCTCCAAACCTTTCGAGGGTTCAATGTACGTAACTGAAGGATCCATGGAACGGCTGGACGCACCATATCTCACCCTCATCACCAAATTCCCCGAAATTCTGCAGCTCTTCGTCGTAGACGTTATCCCAACTAGATCCATCATGGGGCTCTGCACTGGCACAGTATATCAATACAACTCACTGTTCTTTGGTGCCTAATTTTGAAGGCTGTGGATCTGTTGCGCTCATTAGCCTGCAAGCAATCTCCACAGTACAGGAGATATCGCATCTTATCCTACTTTCAAATCACGGATATCAGGCTGCTTAGTCATCCAAACTTCCCATTCGGCCGTTAAATGAGCAGGGTGGTGCATGGACAAAAAGCGAAAGAATGAGTGGTACATGCTAAGATTATGACGTAGTAACATTGGTATGAGTTATACATGGCCGGTGTACATAGTCTGAAATGTCTTCAGCGTGGGACTTCATAGGGTTATGGCCAACGTACATTGAAAGTGCAAAAAAGCCCCAGGGGGTGCGAAAAGTATGAAGGTATTATCGTTTACCGTCGGTTTTTTCGAGTAAATCTTTGGCTTCGTTGATTTTACTGGCCAAATAGGGCGAGCCACCACGGTCGGGATGGTTCGCAAGCATAATTTGTCGGTGAGCGTCCTTGAATCTAGTGCGAAGACTCGGTCCATCCCTATTTTATGTGTTGAGGGGCACAATTGAATTCCAGAAAGCTCACAACAAGATAGAAAAAAACTGGAGACGCACTTGAGACCGAGAATGGCTATAGCCTCTCTGCGATCCATCTTGGCTTTGAAACCGCCTTTGACCCATTCATCTGCGGCTCTTTTCCCAATTACACCACTGCGAACCAAATGTCGTCCAACGAGAGCGGCGGTTATCGCACCCAGGCCAACGATGACTGGCGTCGCCATGCGTGGAAACTGTCTGAGAAGAGTCCTGTAACTATTATTTGGGAGATGAATTACTGGCGGAGGTGAGTTTGGGTTTATTTGGCCATATACTGTTTGAGCGAATACTGGTGACACTAAATGGCTTGTTAATAACTGTAAGTACATATGCAATGGGCCCGCATGCAGCATCATTTGCAGGAAAGGGTGTTTGTACAGAGGTATTACGGAACCGGATAATACAACTAGCTAAACGGGCTGTCGAATTTTCACTGGGCAAATCGAGCATTGTCTGCCCGCGTCGATGAGAATGCCATCCTTGTACCTACTAGTACTAGCAGTGCGCGCTGTCTCTTTCCAAACCAACAGAGAACCTCACGGAAATCAGTGGGTCTCACCCGCCTCCGATTAGAAGGGGAATTGTACAATTGCACAATCACAGGATAGGACGGTAAGCTGACGCAACTTCAAATGATACACACCTACATCAAATTCCGTGTTGAAACCTACAGGGAGATCGGCACAGACACATATTGAGGCCCATCATCCTTCGTTCCTGGAAAAATGACTACACCATTCTTCGTCAACTTCGACCTCAGGGACTGACACAGTACGAAATCTATTCCCCAACACATTGAAATCCTCCTGCATTCACGCAGCGTTATGGTGCTCCAGTGCTAACTCTTACTGTTCCAGAGCCGGAAGTCTCGCTCGCAAGCACAACCGATCTAGGGATTGAGATATTAATAGAACTGAGCGAGATAACCTAGCTGACTGCGGTAACCCGACGCAGGCCGAAGGAAGGAATAGGGCGAGGTGGTATGGGACGGTACTCGTTGCGCTGAATGGTGATTCGAATCGTTATCAAGCGACATGAAATCCAGTTTTCATCGGAAGTTGATGGAAAAGACGACCTTGGTCTGCGCAGGCCTGCCGAGAATCAGGTATTTGGAGTTGGCAACAGCTGTGTACCGACAAAGGCTCCCCGCGGTATACACTGTTTAGTCAAGGTACGAAGAGGTCCCGGAGTCCAGCCTACCGATAGATGATCAACATTCCTGGCTACTGTCACTTCCTCAATCTATACGCTCGTGAATCTCATGCATCGGCTTCGCTCTGCTCGAGTAACAAAGGCCCTGTCAAACCTGGATGTCGATTTGCTTTGCAGGAGAGAAGTGAGGCATAAAGATGCCTAGATGGGAAGAGGGGGAACACGAGGGGCGACACATTCTGAAGCCATAGCTGTTCTACAGCGATCGATATTTGTGGGTGATGAGTTCGAGTGCCAAGCAGTTTGTACTTCATGTCTTGCACGAGTCTACCATTTCAAGGCTCTGGACTTTGAACACGGCCGGCGTGCTGATGATATATATAACTGTGACAACTCCCATGACATCTTGTCCATCAAGTCCTGACCAACGAACCAGGAACGAGTCTTAGAAATTGTGGACATTTACCGGTGCCCACGTTCCCTGGTGACAGTTTACAGAGCGAGGGGAGGTTAGGAAGTCGATACAGAATCGAAGAGTAACCCACCTCAACTTAATGCTCGCCGCCCGTACGGGATCAGATAGCAAACACATCCATTACTCCACCGCAAGACAGCGACGGGCAATGGGAGAGCCTAATGGTCTACCAGGATAGCTGCGCTTCCCCAATTCAGCCTGATCACGACCCGCGATATCTTGGGAATTATAAAACGGTGAGCGTCCATTCGTCCTGTCACAGTCTCAATGGAATGAAAAAACTGCTGTGAAGGAACTTAGAAGGACCTGCATACACACAGCAATCCGGGACTGTTAGTTACCGTCCAGAGACGTCATCTCAAGCTTGACAGCGATTAAAACACGTCCGCAGCATGGAAGGGTCGTGAAAGCTACAACGTGAGATGGAGGCCAAAATTGATGGCAGGCCTACGTACCGTTTGGTTACAACACTAGAACTTGATTTGAACTCCAGTCAGCAATATTAACAACGCGCAGCGTCGAAGAATCGATTCTTTCCGGTTGTGAATAAGCAGGAGAGGTACCACAGCACCATCTATGTTCTCGGATCATTAGGTTCTCATCTAAGCCTATGACATCGAAAGCACCCACCGCGCGTGAATTTCTTTCTAGAACACGGGTGTTGTAACAGTTCGGCATTATAGATCACCCTGAACTCACCTCTCCCATTCATACAAACACGTCTCGTCATTCCAAACTCCTGGTTCCAGGCTAGTTCAATCCCAAATGTGGTGAGCTTCTTATGGAAGAACCATACAGAACAGCGCTGATGCACCTCATGAACAGCCATGATAAGGAGGAACTCACCATCCGTGCGCGCTACAGAATATTAGTTATCCAGTTAATCTTGGCCTCGCGAGCATGTGGTTGTCATCTGTGCTGATCCCCCAACCAGAAAGGCCTGCACGTATCGCAGATCTTCCCTTCCTCTCTAATTATGCAAATTGGCACACGTCTCCTCCTACCCTCAACGGTCGTCAGCAAGGAAACGTATCTCGCCAGTGTCGATGCCGGTCTAACCTGGGTAAATGCATGCGGACTGGCATGAGCCATTCTACATCGTTACACCTTATGACGCTCCATAAATGGCGGTGAAAAGGAGCCAAAGACTGCCAGCTTGCTCGGGTAAGTTCTTCGTTTCAAGGTTCCTCGTTTCTTTCTGACGGAAATGGTAGGTAACGAAGACGACCACGTTGTCGTGTCGGCAGTTAAGCATCGACTTCCTTCTACAAACATGATGCTTACCGTTTCAAACAAAGGTATGTGATCATCTGGGTCACCCCGGTTTTCATCTAGTCATTGGTTTCGGACACATTTCGTCGGTCGGCTTCTAACTTTACATAGACAGAGGGAAGAGATGCCTCGGTTGGTTGACACCAGATACAACACTTGCCTACCAGTGTTGGTTCACCTTTCCATCGATTTTAGCCGCTTGCATAGACAGGACTTAATACCTGCAACGAGGAAGCGCGAGTATTAGCGTGCTAATTTCCAAATATAGTCCATGAGCGGAGGTTGCCTCGTTTGTGGCTGGGCTGGGGTGGGCTGGTGCTCTGCCTTAGCCGCTCACCTTTGCGTTATCGTCTCATTGTTTCTATCAGCCTACTCACCATGAGATCCTCCAGTACTCGTGTTATTCATCAAAATCTGGTCGACTTAGATATGGACGGCCTGGATGTCAAGTTGATCAGCTTATCTGATGTCAACAAGGACCCTAAAGACTTGGATACCATCGTTGGTCGTAACGAAGGCCGTGCGCTTGGCCTTTCTGCCGCATACTCACCCTTCGGTGGTCTCCGCCTACTTGCTGTCGCTGACGCCACAACTGTGGTGATCATCGATTTCGAGTCGGATATCAGCAAGGACAACGGGCGCGTTAGTCCGCCTAGCGATCTCAGTGCGGCGCCGTCCAATTATCTGCGCGACCTCGTTCTCCAACGCTCCACTGGTCACGTATATGCCTTCGATATGGCTCCGTTGGCCCTGTCGCTCTGGCAAAGCCATGGTCTCCGTATCCAGCAGGCAGTCGACGTGCAGTGCGTCGGATCTCCCAATTCCCGCGCCCCCTTCAGTACCATCAAATTTGCTGTCGGTGACACGGCTCGCGTATTCAAAGATAATGTTGTACGAGCTTTCAATGACTACATATTCCATGTACCGGACGACCCGGCGAGCAGCCAAACGACAACACCACTCGCTCAACGGGCATGGGTGACGCACTTCATCTCGCAGCTCAGTTCAATGGAAGGTAGGCTCGCCGATGTGCCTCCGATTAACATGGCAAGGTTCTCAGATACAGTATGTAGTCAGAGCTTGGTTATTATTTAGCTCACTGTACCTGTCGTTCGTTACAGCTCCTTCGATTCCTGGCGAAGAGTACGATAGACGCCTTTCGGCTTGAAGAGCAAAGGCCACGTGAAACTACTCGTACCGTGATGGCAACCTCTTCCAGAGGCCGGGGAGAAGTGACCGCAAGAGTCGATCGATACCAAAATAGAATTCGTGTAGGTAATCAGCAGGTGAGGGTCTCCTCATACTCGCCCTCTTCCAATTTGTAATGGATTGTGTTCTTTTAGCAAATTCGTATTCATGTCCCTCCTACACACACTGTGGGGGGCTATGCAATCTCTGCAAGCATTGCTGCAGCTCGTGGTGAGGGTGCTAGGTTGAGGACTGAGGGGTCCCTTGGTGCTGGTAGGCAGACTGCTGCCATTACCCTTGTTGGCAGGGAGGACCCCACTGCTGCAGAGGTCAAGAGGGCTCAGATTATTCTCTTCATCCTGCAAGGGAAAATTTCTACAGAGGGTGAAAGTCTCAATCCTTGGGTTCATCAGATTTACCTTGACCCCAGTGATGACTTCACATGGCCAGCTGAATGGGCCAGTGCCTTGTCCCCTGTCAAGTTCAACCCAGCCAACACATCATACCCTCTCAATTCTTCCCAGGTAAAGGCAGTGAGGAGGATGCTTGATGAATCCAATGATTATAGGGCTACCATTATTCAGGGTCCTCCAGGCACTGGGAAAACCACAGTTATTGCTGCCTTTGTTCAGGCTGCTGTGAGGGCAGGGAGAAGGGGTATCTGGCTGATAGCCCAGTCCAACATTGCTGTGAAAAATATTGCTGAGAAGTTGGCTAAGTTTGGTCTGGGAAACTGGAAACTTCTAGTGTCAGCTGACTTTTTTGAATTTTGGTGTGTGTTTTGCATATGCTATGTCCACCACACTCATCCATTCTAGGCATGAACACCTTTATGCCAATATTCGTGCCAACATTATTGTCAGTGATGAATTTGCAGATAAGAGTGCTCTTTGTGGACAGTTAGCTGGTTGCCCAGTTGTGCTGTGCACACTGAGCATGCTCTCCAGTAATGCCCTTCACTACTCTGGAGTTTTTAGGGTGGTCCAACTCCAGACTGTTGTGGTTGATGAAGCATCTCAGATTGAGGTTGGCAGCTACATCCCCCTGTTTACAACTACCACCACCATCAGAAAGGTTATCTTCATTGGGGATGACAAACAATGTGAGTTTTTTCAGTGGAGTTCAATATCACACACTGAAGGTCTTTTAGTGCCACCCCATGGCCAGGAGCAAATTACTGCATTGCAGAGTATTTTTGAAGTGGAGCATTTGAAAAAACATAGGATTTTGCTTGATACACAGTGTATGTATTTTTATTCTTTTTCTGATCAGTTATATGACTACTGTACAGATCGCATGCCACCTCAAATTGGAGATTTTATTTCTGAGGCTGTTTATGAAGACCTTCTCAAGTCTAATGGAGTACACCCTCTGGCTGATACTGATCTTCCAACCTGCCATTTTGTAAATGTACCTGGGGAGCAACTGTCTCAAGGAACCAGTTGGAAGGTGAGGAGAAAATTTGGTCACAAGGGTGAATGCTAACATGATTATTAGAATCTCAAAGAATGCCAAGCAATTCTTAAGCTGGCTCAAATCTTTCAGAATCAGGGGAAGAGATTCAAGATCATTACACCTTATGATAGTCAAAGGACATTGATTGAGAATGAACTCAAAAGTGCTGAGATGCAATGGGAGGACAAGTGTTTTAATGTTGATTCCTTCCAAGGTCAGATCATTTTCATTCTCTGCTTGCCATGCTTCCCCCTGACATATCAACAGGAAATGAAGAAGACTATATCATCATTTCCCTTGTTCGTTCTTGGGGGCTAGGGTTCCTTGAAGATCTTCGAAGAACCAATGTAATGCTTACAAGATGCAAAAGAGGAATGGTGATTTTCACAGGCAAGGAGTTTATGAGAAAGTATGGGAAAGAGAGTTTGGTGGGCCAGTTACATGGTTATTATGAGGAAGCCTGGACTGAAATCCAGGAGATGGGGAACACTACCTTCATCTGATAGGTTGAAACAGGTGGGTAATTGGATTTCAAGAAATGTACTTGCTGTCCTTGCTTTGTTATGTTCTATGCTACCCTGCTGTTGACATGTTAGTTGTATGCTTTTCTGTTTGCTATGCTCTGTGCTATCTTGTTGGCTGTCTTCCATGTATCATACTATACTAGAAAAGAAAAAGAAAAAAGCAAAAGGGGTGATAAAGCATTCTTTTTGCAACAATGCAGCAGTGTGATCTTCAGATGTCACAGTTTTACAGCACAGAATATCTATAGCCTTGCATGGGGCCTGGTCTGTACATGTTCCATGGTAGCTTGTACACAATGACTACCAGTGGCAGCAACATTCTGTGATGGTTTTCTAACAGGTATACCGTCACCAGAACAGTCAGCATGATTACCCCTCTTATCCCCTTCTCCACATTTGCTCATACAGATACCCCACATATCTGTTAGAGCATCATGGAGGTGGCCCATAAACATGTGTGTAGAGGTGCTTGAACAGGAATGCTTAGAGTCAATGCAGAATTTGATAGAGGAGGGTCCAATGAGGTCTGTTACACCAGATGTCCACCATCATGAGAAACACAAGTTGCATTGGACAGAATGAAACACGTACAGTTGACACCATACCCATCTGGGAATGGAGCACCAAACCTAGTATACAGAGAAAAATGGACAGTAAGTGACACTGGAGTGGCACATTTCAAATATATGTCCCCCGGCTAGGGGAATCTCAATGCTGTATACAGGGAGAGATGACCCCACAGTATGCCAGCACCACTCCTCGATGCCATTGGCATCATCAAGCAAGAGCCAATACTTCGCAGAATATAGAAAGCACGAAATACACCTACCCAGTCCCACGGAAATACCAGCCCTCACTCAACCCACTGGTGCTTAGCCGCCATGTCTGACTTTCCCTGAAAACAGGATCTTCAAACAACGCAACAGGCTGTTCAGGTCCCCATATGGTTTTCTGGCTGTTGCACGCCCGTGATGTTTCACTGCTTCCGGAAAATGGCATATGTTCAGTTGTCTCTCTACGTCCGTCGAGCCAGTTCCATTCGGTTCCCAAGACGGTCCGTAAACCTAGAAGGTGCCGGTCGATGCCACGGCCTGCGATAGCTGCGCGGGTGAGTAAAGCATGTGCATGAAGCGCAGAGATTAAAAGAACACGGAGTGACGAGGGCCACGCCGGTGGCTGGGAGAGGAACATTGAATATCAGAGGTCGACCGCCGAATCCGAGTAAACAGCAGCGCAACTCACTACCTCGTCGATATCCCTTCTTTCTACACTCTTTTTTACTGGGTATCCTCTCCAAGTCTGATCCTTCCCGGGCCCACACGCTAACACAAATGCGAAGCTCTCACGTGTGAGGCTTCGAATGGTCTCTGTGCGGCCATGGTGAAAAGACCGCGTGAGGGCAGTCTCATACACGGGAGTTGTGCGTCCGTGAATCCGATAGTAAGCTAGTTGCATTGCAAGCTGGACGAAAGCATCCGGAGGGTAACCAGCTGCGTGAACATTAATCTAACATCATACAAAGCGCACCAGGACTCACACACTCGCTGGATCTCATCTCCACCAAACGTTGTAAAGTACAGCACGTCATGGTCTGAGTCTGCGACAAGCACTTCTGCACGACACGTCGCATCTGCAATTGCTGTCTCGATGTGTGAAGATGCAACAAAGTCAAGTCTTTCCCAAAATGCACAACTAGCAAAGTCAACCTCTTTGTGCCCGCGCACTCGCAACTCGGCCGTTTCCTTGCTAGCAAGCGGTGTGGCCGCCATGCCTCCGGACAGGGTCACACCACTAGCCTTCGCTACAGCCCACTCACAAACGACACTGGGGACCAATGCATCCACGGCTGCGTGTTCACCACAGGCACCAGCGCGTGTCGTACGCTCCACAATGAGCTGGAGAGGTTTGTCAAGAAAACGGTTTTGCAATGCAGGAGGGGCACGCGTGCGTTGTTGGTGTTGGCGGAGGTCGTACGGCACCGGATTGGGGGAGACAGGTCCATGCGGGATTGAGGGTACTACTCTGTCCGTCTGCGTGGCCTGGAAGGGAAGCTGGGTCGCTTGCACAGTCGAATTTCCTGTACCGGGACGCGGAACGGCCCTGTCAGTTGGAAAAGTTAACGGAAACGACTGTGAATCGTTCTCTTCAAGTGGCACAGATGGCGCCGACCAGTGATCGAGTGAGAGGACAAAGAGGGATTCCTGGATTGCATCTAAAGAGCGAACGTTGCGCGAAGACAGGGAGCGGAGATGAACGTAGTTCTGTCTAACATCAGCTGGATTTCTTCTCCCCGAGACTGAGTCTTACCTCGGCCCACGTATTCCTTTCGTCAGAGCTCAAGATTCCTACTCTGACTGCTGTCTCTCCCTGTTCTCTCCTCTTGAGTACGTCCTCCACTATTTTCCTGATCCCCCATTCAATGTCGTCTACCCCCAGAGGTGCACCAGTCTTCAGGTCGGCGACCTGCAATGCGTAGAAGAAGTCGTGTGCCATAATGACGATGGCAGATGCCCAGTGAGAAGAGGCAGTGACGCTAAGATAATCGCAGTTACGCTGAGGAACACGACAAATATTGAAGATGGCCGAGGTACAGTGTCGTAGCCAAATGCCTGACATTTGCGTGAATTGAATGCAGATGAGAATATCAGAACACATACCTACACGCGTGGTATCCGGGTATAATTCCTGCCTGTTTCCATTCAGCACGTACTCGATATTGCGATACCATGTCGCACGTACGATTCCATTCTATGTTTGAAATCGAGGATGCCTCGCACTAAGCAAGCCGCCCTCCTGATCTGCCATGGAGTGAATCCCTGCCCTTGGTCCCTTATGACCTCCTCTGGTACTTCAGCGTCGTTTACAAAAGTCAACCACCAATTAGAATTTATGAGAAGCGGCGCTCTCCACTCCAGATACGTTTTTTTTAACCAGAAGTTATCATCTAGCCAATTGTGGGGTGAGACATCGTCGAGAGCACGTAGGCGCGCCTGTGCAACCTTGCCTGGTCCACTGAGGAAGGACTGGACAAGTTTCTGGCGTTCTTCAAAGGCTGCAGCAAATGGCGCGCCCCCATCCAATTCGTCCTGGAGCAGCACTGGTTGGATGGAGTCAAGATATTTTGCCATGGTCTTGTGCAGGTGGGGCAGCGGAAGACGCGGCAATTTCTGTGCCGACATGGCTGACAATGACCTCCTCGACTGGGAGAGCGGTGCCCGACGCGTCGAAGCTTGAACCATCCGGTGTATCCCTGTCATTGCAATATTTTGATTGGCCCTCACCAACTCATTGGCCGGCCGTGGAGGAAAGCAGGGACATGGTCACGTGACCCATGTCCTGTAGTTGGCACTGTGCTCTCGGTTCTCATTGATACACTTGAAGACGGGGCAGAAGTTCAGAAATGCCCCGAGGATGTTATCCCACTGAGAAGCTCATGGCGTCCGTGGGATCTCGCTGATGCATTCGTAGCTTCTTCCGCCGTTGTTTCACCGTGAACGTTCCCGTTTTGGCCAGCCATGACTCACCCACATTGAAGACTGCCGTGATCTGTAACGCCCAGCTGCGCAATCAGGTACTTGAAATCCGTTCGCCACGTTTCTCGGTCGCTCCAGGAGTCACTTCTCACCCCATGTCTCACAGGTTATTTTTCGTCACACCTAACTTGTTCCCAGTCTGCCCTTCCCTCGTCTGTGGGACGACAACGGAAGGTGCTCTTGATGCAAGGCTCCTTCGGCGGTTCCTGGACACAGTGACGACCGAAGGTGCCATCGGCATCTCAGCCTCATATCGCGAGGATTCTCGACTCAGTGCCATTGCATTTTCCTCCCTATCGGCAGCTCTCGTGGTACACGTTACCCTCAGCAGTGATCTGCCTCGAAGGAGTAGCCGTGGAGAGCGAGCTAGAATTACGCAAGCGAGGAACCTCCTCCGAGAGCAAATTCTATGCAATGCGGACTACGGGAAGTACGCATTTAGAATGGATCGTATTGCAATCGCATTGTATTTGGACATGGGGTTGCGCATTGAGCACGCTGTAGATATGTTGTCAGCGTCGCACAGTGACAGGCAGTCCCTTCAGGCGCTTATCGATGTAATGGATGGCGGATCGACTTTGCACAGGTCGAACGTGAAGGCATTATTTTTCAGTGACAAGTTCGGCACTGTATCGGATTCAGACCTTGTCCAGCAAGCATGGGCAGCATGTCAGGCGTCCGCTTTTTCCGACATGGCTACACGCTTCCGCGAGCTGAGAAGAATCAGAACCAATGTGATACCAGAAGAAGTATGTTTCCTGGCCAAAATCAAAGTATTCACTCATGGTCTCTCTGGCACAGCATATGGCCGCTCTTGCCAAGATCTATCGTGATGGAGAGCGTTCAGATTTCTTAAAGCCACAGACTGTTAAGAACGACGTTATGCCAGGTATCACAGCGGCGATGGATAATCTTACGTTGACTTGTGGTCGCTACTCCACTCGTATCAGAAGCTCAACTCAGCAGGTATGTTAATAACGGATATATCGGAGTCGGGTGTGTATGAACACACTCTGCATAGTTCCTCCAGATAGAAACACGGAACGGAGTTCGAGTGTCGGGTCGTGCTATCCGCGTCGAAGGACGCCAGGCGCAAATTTCCCTTTCCGGTTCCCTTCGGGGCGATGAGATAAAGTCCGTCACGACAGTCGGCAAGGCCGACCTCACGTCTGCAGAAGCTTGTCGTGCAAGCGTTATCCTTGCTGTCTTGAAGGGAGAGACTACCCTGTTGTCACAGTCATTCTTCAAGGTCATATGGCTTCCCAAGCATCCACCTTCGTGGCCAGCTATCGATTTTACCAAGCCGCGAATACTGATTTGTTGCCCCAATCTCGATGTCAATACCTCTCAGGAAAGAGCCATCGAGAAAATTTTGTCTGCCTCAGATGAGGACCGAGTCGTTTTGATTCAGGGACCTCCAGGAACCGGCAAGACGACGGTCATTACTGCCGCAGTTACCAGCATCATTTCCTGCCCCGCTGCTCATAGTCGGACCATTTGGATAGCTGCACAATCGAACGTCGCTGTGAAGAACGTCGCCGAGAAGTTTCACAAGATAGGATTCCATGACTTTAAGCTTCTGGTGTCGTTGGAATTCCACTTTGACTGGTGCGTTCCTTCATGACTCAACGATTTTGCGTTAATCAGGTGTTACAGGCACGAACACCTCTATGAGAAGCTTGCACCATGCGTCATTCGCTCTGACTCGTTCAGGAATGGCAGAGTCGGCGCATCGAGGCAACTGTGCGGCGCTAGGGTTATTCTGTGTACACTAAGCATGTTGTCGAATGACCACATCGCGCCCTATGTCCAAGTGAATCCAGTGGATATTCTGATTTTCGATGAGGGCAGTCAGATAGAAGTCGGGAATTACGTTCCCGTTCTCTACCGCTTCGGAGGTACCCTGTCCAAGATTGCTTTCATTGGGGACTGTAAACAACGTAAGTTGGAACGATGCGCTTCGTTCACTTGTTGGACTCCATGCAGTGCCGCCTTACGGTCAAGAGGAGATCTCAACACTGCAAAGCATCTTCGAGGTCAAACATCTTAGCAAAAAAGCGCTCTTATTGGATACGCAATGTGCGCCAACATGCTCCAACTCAACCATGTCGACTGATGTCCTCAGACCGTATGCCAGGTGTCATCGGCGACTTCATATCGCAGAAAGTCTACAATGGGAAATTGAGGACTTGTCATGCAAACGCTGTTAAGTCACCTTGTCGTTTTATCGATGTTGAAAGAGGACAGGAAAAACAATCGGGAAAGAGTTGGATCGTTTGTGGCTTTCTTCATTCCAACGATATGGGCTAACATCAGGGCAGAATCCTTCCGAGGCACTCGTTGTAGCGCAGATTGCCCGTGTATACGAGGCTAAGGGGCTCGACTTTCGTATCATCACACCGTACGACGCCCAGCGCTCTCTCATTGAACGTGAGCTACAGGCGGCGAACATATGCTATGAGGACAAAGTATTTAATGTAGATTCATTTCAAGGTTTGCTGATTCATATGAAATCCACCCTTCGAAGCTCATAAAATGCCAGGCAATGAAGCAGAACATATAATTATCTCCGTCGTTAGGTCAAACAAGCTTGGATTTCTGGCTAACCAACGACGAACCAACGTCATGCTTACCCGTTGTAGCAAGACCATGGTCATATGCACGAGTCGAGCATTCATCCAGGGTAAAGGGGCATCAACGCTTATCGGACACCTTGCCGCCGCTGTCGGACCGCGAGCATGGATAACTGGAGAAGTGCTACTCATGTTCTTGGGACTGCGCCCCACGCCGTTCAATACTGTTGGCTCGTCCGAAGCCTCCGCATCTTAGACTGTCATACGTATGGACTATATAGTGGGGAATACCTACCTGAGGGCCGCATTGGCCCCCCATTTGAACTTCGAGACCGCACTAATATGCGTATTACAGAGCGGTGATAATCTCCAGGTATTGGAGTCAGCCCAAGGTGTCTCAGGGGCCATATCTCGAGATTGAAGAATCAGAATCGCAGTATGTGAAACTTCTACGTAAAAATGAAATATTTGCCCCGCTCCAAAGTGGGATCCATAAGAGGCGTCGCCGATGTGTATCGAAGTCGTCGACCATGATCGAAGCTTGCCTTGTTTTTGAGTCCAAAGGATATCTGCACCGTTGCTGGGATCTTCTGGCCTCCACGACGCTCCATGTGACAGCTAGAGGATAGTGAACTTGTTTTTTCTGATCTAAGTGCATTGAGGAAGTATCCTATGTAGCACTATACACAACTACTTGACCTAATCGGCGTCGGGCCCGCACCCTGCCTTCTCTCCGAGCGTATGGGTGCCCCACCGGCCCGGGCTGTAAGGCCCTCGGGCCAGTGATCCGCCTCGCGTTTCAGTCACCTTGTTCCGGTGCGCCTGATTGACGCTTACTGACAGATAGCGAACCTGCTTGCGGAGAGCGCCAACCCGATAATGGCAATGCGATTGCTCATCTCGTTGGAACACCCAATGCAGGAACGACGAATGTGTCCGATCTTACGGGGCTCGTTTCGTCGGTAGCGGCAAATAAACACACTACCACAACAGAACTGGTCCGTAAGCAGTGTGATACCGTACCGATCGAGTACCGTCCGCTCGTATAATGAGAACTCCTTGCAAGAAGCACTCATAGTTGAGTTGTACCTTTCGTTTGTGGGCATCATCAAACATCAGTACCTTCAATCGGGAGGAACAACCGTACAACAGCCACGTGGGAAGGGGTAATGTCCCAAGAGGTACGGGAAACCTTTGAACACGGACAATAATATCTGATGGTCTTGAGACCGCCGTACTTGCTGGCTGACATCATACAATCAAATTCAGAGTCAAACATACATGCAAGGTGTTCGACGGAGCGTTACATTCCATTCTATCATCCCTCCTTGAGGAAGCAACTACCTCATTCTACATCAACTTCAGCTTCAGGAACTGTCGCGGTGCTAAATTTATTCCCCAACACACTAAGTTCCTCCTCCACTTGCGTGATGTTAACAGGCCCCGGTCCTAGCTCTACCTTTCCAGAGCCAGAAGTTCCGTCCGCGGGTAAAACCGACCCAGGGAATGAGACGGTAAGAGTCCTGGGCTGGAGGATCTGGTTAACTGCGGTGACCCGCCGTGGATCGAAGTAAGGAATGGGGCGGGGCGGGTAGGGCACCGTCCCCTTCACGCTGCATGGTGATTAGGATTGTGATATGGTGACATAATATGCAGTCTGCATCGCAACGTACGTCAGGTTAATGGAAGAGACGACCTTATATCTCGCAGGTGCGCCGAGCACAAAGATACGTTTGGAGGTGCCCACAGTTGTGTAGAACATGCCGACGAAGCCTCCCTATGGTATATATTGTTTAGTCATGGTACTGAGAGGTCCAGGGTCCGACCTACCAATTGATCTTCAGAAGGGATTGGGTTGACTACCGTCTCTCCTTCAATCTGCACATCGGTAGTTCCCAAGGGTCCGGCCTCACTCAGCGCGAGTAACAGCTCTTTGTACTCGTTGCGAGTGAGATTTTTCCCGTTGAGGACGACTTCGAGGTTTTGGGCGAAAGTAGCGTCAAAAATCCTGTTGAACCTGTCTGCGGTCTTGCTTCGCAAGAGAGAGTTAAGGCGTGAAGATGCCCAGACAGGAAGAAGGGGGACTCGGGGGAGGACACGTTCTGAGGCCATTGCTGTTGTTTAGTGATCAGTGTTTGTCGGTGGTGAGTTTGAGTACCAGGTCATTCATGCTTTATATCTTGGACGAGCCTACGATTTCAACGCTCTGGACTTTGAAGATAACCGGTGTGCCGATAGCATGTGACCATGAACCCGCCAGTCCCAACTCCCATGAGTCCGGTCCATCACGCCCTGACCAGCGACCCAGGTATGAGTGTCAAAAAACTGTACCAGTGCCCGCGTTCTCCTGTGATGGTTCACAGAACTGGGGGAGATTAGAGGCTCGATATGGAACAAACGAGTAAACCGCTTCATACCAATGATCGCCGCCCATACAAGATCAGAAAGCATGTACTTCCATAACTCCATCAACATCCAGTGCAAGATGACTGTGAGCGATGCAGAAGCTTAATGAATTACATAAATGGCTTCACTTACCAGATCCAGCGCGATGCCTGGTCCACAGCTCACAATATTGAATCCCATAAACGTACATGATTATAATTAGGACTATTGCCGCATCCGCTGGGCTATGCATGCTTCAGTGCCTGAGAAGTGATAAAACGGTGAGCATACATTCGTCCTGTCAGATTTTGACGGAGTACATATCTTGGGTACAACCGCTGTAGATAAACTTAGATGGGGACGCGTACACATGGTAGCAACCGGGTGTGTCAGTTACCGTCCCGGCATGCACCTCTATCTCAAGCAAAGCGCATTCTGTCAATGAGTGCAAAATTCAAACACGTCTACAGAATGCAAGGGTCACAGAGACAGTAACGTGAGATGGGATCACCGTCCAATAACGTCCGGAAAGATGTACTCGGAGGAGGAAAAACCCCACTGCCGATAAGCGCTCATATCTAACTGAGGTTTCTTATTTCCTAATTTAGTGATACGTCATTGCGTATTACTGCGTACTTAGTTGCAGTTCTCATTAGTTACTCACCTTCTGACAGTAGTCGCCAGCCTCTCAATTTAGAGCCCCCTTTCATCGCTTTGGTGTCGAAAACACCCGTTGGACACGACGTTGATTCTAGAACACAGGTGCTGCGCATTCCGGGTTTATGGATTACCCTGAATCCACTTCCCACCAGTATCCGAAGTAAGGTGATCCTGTCAATCTGAAGCTAGCCAAGTCTCTGCCCACAGCAGCGGGTGAAGCTTTAGAAGATGAAGCAAAAGGTTGAACCGTCTTTCAGAATCAGCTGAAGGACCTGTGAAAATCCCGGCATGAATTGCTGCAATTCCATCCGAAGTTTCAACCTGAGTGTGGGATCTAATTGAACCGCCAGCAATGTCGGGGTTATCCATCACAATTTGTACATCTCCAAAACCTCCAAGCAAACGAGTAGTTCCAAATATAGCTACCTCAATCATCCACCTCAGGAGGGGCGTAGATCATTTGAACATGACGGACACAACGCATACTGTGAGAAGGTCGCACCTGAAAAAGGAGCGGAGCACGCCACGCACGGCCACAGAACTGTCGTTGAAATGCGACCACCAAAGACGCCAAAGTGTGCGAAGGCACGAAAAAGCGGCATTGAGACGTTCGGTTCGATCAAGGTGGGGAGCAAAGGAGGACAATGCTTGCACGATTGTGTGGAGGAACCCGTTGAAGTTGACCGGATGTAGGAGAAGCTGGGAAAAGCGGGGGCAAAACAACTAGTCCTCGAGCCATACTTGCGCGACCCATCAGTGATGTGTGGCTCGCGCACAGTGGACACAGTGCCGGCTCGAAACGCGTCACCGTCGAACGCGTCCGAGGCTTGCCGTCCAACTCGAAGTTCAGCGTCTGCCTCGCATGTCAAGTTTCTCCTCCGAGCGTTGTATCATTCTACCGAAAGTTACACGCTGTCCGCGAGGCTTTCAAGTGCGTTTGTGGTGCCTGCAACCGGCTAGCTATCGTTTACCTGCATTACAGTACACACCTCCATTTTCAATAATTACGAGCATCATATAATTCAAGACCCCTTCGCCACGCCGTAGGGTTTCTGTTTCTTGCTTCCTTCGAATCGAGTTCCACTCTTGTCTCTGTCAATGTTTCCCACATTACCAGCCGTCACACCCAAGTTATTTCCGAAACCGCCGTTTCCCAGTTGCCTTCGACGCTTTGTCAGAGGATTTCATAGATGCCAGGGACCTTTGGTCATTCCTCGATACAGTGACATCCAGGGGTGTCATTGGCGTTTCCGCCTCGTATAGAGACAACTGCCAACTCAGTGCCATCGCATTCTCTTCATTGTCTAGGGCTTTGGTGGTACACTTCACTAGCGGCGGTCTGCCCCAAGGCGGTAATCCCGGGAAACGAAGTAGAATTATGGAAGGAAGGGACCTCCTCGAGGAACACATTCTCTGCAACACGGAATACCAGAAGTATGCATTCAACATGGATCGTATTGCTATCGCCTTGTACTTGGACCTGATGCTGCGCATTGATCGTGCAGTAGATATGCTCTCGGTGTCCTTGGGTGACAGGCGATCCCTGGAGGCCCTTCTGGATGCAATGGGTGGCCAGCCGACTTTGCATCAGTTAAACGTGAATGAATTGTTTTTCACTAATGATTTCCGCTCCGTATCAGATTCAGACCTTGTCCAGCAAGCCTGGGAAGCTTGTCAGGCGGCGATCCTCCCTCACATGGCTGAGCGCTTTCACACGGTGGGAAGAATCAGAACGAATACAATACCAGATGAGGTTTGTGCCGGTGGATTGCGAATCTCAGAATCAGTTTGTTTGCCATTCGCTCACATCGCCTCTGACACAGCATATGACGGTGCTTGCCAAGATCTCCCGTGATGGAGACCTTCTGAATTCCTTGAAGCCGTTTATCATGAAGAACGATGTTATGCCAGGCATCACAATGAACACGGATAATCTCACGTTGACTTGTAGTCGTTATCTAACTCGTATCAGAAATTCAACGCGGCAGGTGTGTTTATAACGATGCACAGGAGTCAGGTGCACATGAACATGCGTTCTACATAGCTCCTCCAGATAGAAACACCGAAGGGTGCTCAACTGTTGGGTCGTGCTATCCGCGTCGAAGGACGGCATGCCCATATCGAAATTTCGGGACCCCTTGAGGGCAATGCGATAAGGTCTGTGATGACGTTCGGCAAGGCATACCTCACGTCTGCAGATGCTTGCCGCGAAAAGGTTATCCTCGCGATCTTGAAAGGGTCCACGCTTTTGTCACATCCGCTTGTTAAGGCCATATGGTTTCCCAACCAGCCAATCTGCTGGATGCCATCCAGCCACCTGAAGCCCAAAATACCGATTTCTTATGCAAACGTTAAAGTCAATCCCTCTCAGGGAAGAGCCATCGGGAAAATCTTGTCTGCCTCAGATATGGATCGAGTGGTCTTGATTCAGGGACCCCCAGGAACCGGCAAGACGACAGTCATTACTGCCGCAGTCACCAGCATTATTTCGTTCCCCGCTGCCAGTAGTCGGGCCATTTGGATAGCTGCACAATCGAATGTCGCTGTGAAGAACATTGCTGAGAAGTTTGCCAAAATAGGCTTCTATGACTTCGCATTGCTAGTGTCAAAGGGATTTCACTTTGACTGGTGCGTCTTCACACGTCTAGGAAATCTTCTGCTTAGTAAATGCCGTAGGCATGAACATCTTTACGAGAAGCTTGAATCGTGCCTTATTCGCTCTGGAACATTCAGTCGCGAAGGCGTTGGCGCGTCCAGGCAACTTCGCGGGGCCAGAGTCATCCTGTGCACAGTAGGGATATTATCAAATAACCATATCGAACCCTTCCGTCGTGTCAATCCAGTGGACATGCTAATCTTCGACGAAGGGAGTCAGATAGAAGTCGGAAATTACCTTGCAGTTTTCGACCGTTTTAAGTTCACCCTCTCGAAGATCGTCTTCATCGGAGACAACAAGCAGCGTAAGTCATAACCATGGCTCTTTGTTCGTTTTTTAAATCTTGGAAGTGCTACCTTATGGGCAAAGGGAGATCCCGACACTACATAGCATTTGCGAAGTCAACCACCTGCGCAAAAAAGCAATATTCTTGGATACGCAATGTGGGTCAACTCCTCCTGGCTTACATATGTTCGCTGACCTCTTCAGATCGCATACCTCGCGTGCTCGGCGACTTCATTTCACAGAGAGTCTATAACGGGAAATTGAAGACCTGTCATGCAAACTCGGTCAGTCTCCCATGCCGCTTCGTCGACGTTGAAAGAGGACATGAAGAACGATCAGGAAAGAGTTGGATCGTGCGTTACTTCTTTGACTCTAATGACTGTGCCTTGATATCGAGGCAGAATTCGTCAGAGGCGCAAGTTGTAGTGCAGATCGCCGCTGCATACCAAGCCAAGGCACTTGACTTTCGTATCATCACACCGTACGATGCCCAACGCTCTCTTATTGAACGTGAGCTGCAGGTGGCGAACGTACGTCATGAAGACAAAGTATTCAACATAGATTCATTTCAAGGTTTGCTCTCTCATCCTGGCTCTGCCCTTCCAAGCTCAACCTAACGACAGGCAACGAGGCGGAACACATCATTATCTCTCTGGTCAGGTCACACAGGCTTGGCTTCCTGGTTCATGAGGGACGAGCCAATGTCATGCTTACTCGTTGCAAAAAGACCATGATTATATGCACGAGCCGAGCATTCATTTGGGGTAGGGGCATCAACACTTGTCGGACAACTTGCAGAGGTTCTGGTCCCCAAGCGTGGGTAAATGGCGAGATTGTTGTCTAATATACTTGGCACCGCATGGTTCGCTCGTTCAGAATTTGTGTTCGCTAGGTTCTGGCGTGGGCTACATATTGCATTCTTGACGAGGAATCATTATTCGGAGGCCGCACTGGCCATCTTTTTATTGTCAAGATCACACTGGAATGCTTCGCGCATCGATAATCTCCAAGCATGCTGAGATCTCAAGGGCAAAGCCTCGACATTGTACAAAGGATTAGACAAAGGAACGCCTGTGTGTGAGGTCCGACCGCATCGCCACCGATATATATCGCTACCAAGGCTTTTCCAGACCTAAACTTGATAGTATCCAGCAACATACATATTGTATGCCTAACTAACACCGAGCGGGTGTCGAAGACAGAGAGAAATGAGCCAGTTAATGATATATTGTGACCAGGCAGTATCCGGCAGCGCCGGAGGCAAGAAGGTGGGATCCGAGGTAGGAGGGATGTTGGAATACACAGGGGGGCGGAGTGACGCTGTGGGGAAGAAACTCACGTGGAGATACGAACCCCTGGCCAGCCAAGCCGGAAATCCGCACAATCATATGAAGTGTGTTACTTAACGCCCCCGGGCACTGAGAAAAATAATATCTGACAGTGCTGAGCCGAGTACTCGTGTGGATGTAACTTCAGATGACACAGATACATACACAGGAAGGTCAGCATGTAGTCATGTATTCCATTCTACCATCTTCTGCATGACCATCTACATATTGGCAGGTGCAAATACTTCATTCCTCATCAATGTCAGCCTCAGGGACTGATGCAGTGCTGAATTTGTTCCCCAAAACACTGAGTTCCTCCAGACCCTTCAGTCAACCTTAGTCCTGAAACTGGGACACCTGAAGTGTACATTTTCCCTGAGAGTGGGACTAACCAACACTGGCCAGTGGGCAGTGAGGGGGGGGGGGGGGGGTAGGCTGACATGTGGGGGTGGAATTGGCTGAACATGCTGGTGGATGGACCCCCTGCCTGGAAGTGGGGCTGGCCTACCTCACTGGAGGATAAAGACAGCCCCTGAAAGTGGGATTGGCCAGCCTCACTAGTGGATGTTCCCACCCCCTGGAAGTGGGATTGGCTGACCTCTGGGGTAGATGTTCCCACCCCCTGGAAGTGGGATCAGCTGACCCCTGGGGTAGATGTTCCCAGCCCCTGGAAGTAGGATTGGCTGACCTCACTGCTGGAGGTTCCCACCCCCTGGAAGTGGGATAGGCCAACCTCACTACTGGAGGTTCCCACCCCCTGGAAGTGGGATAGGCCAACCTCACTACTGGAGGTTCCCACCCCCTGGAAGTGGGATAGGCCAACCTCACTACTGGAGGTTCCCACCCCCTGGAAGTGGGATAGGCCAACCTCACTGCTGGAGGTTCCCACCCCCTGGAAGTGGGATAGGCCAACCTCACTACTGGAGGTTCCCACCCCCTGGAAGTGGGATAGGCCAACCTCACTGCTGGAGGTTCCCACCCCCTGGAAGTGGGATAGGCCAACCTCACTACTGGAGGTTCCCACCCCCTGGAAGTGGGATAGGCCAACCTCACTACTGGAGGTTCCCACCCCCTGGAAGTGGGATAGGCCAACCTCACTACTGGAGGTTCCCACCCCCTGGAAGTGGGATAGGCCAACCTCACTACTGGAGGTTCCCACCCCCTGGAAGTGGGATAGGCCAACCTCACTACTGAAGGTTCCCACCCCCTGGAAGTGGGATAGGCCGACCTCACTACTGAAGGTTCCCACCCCCTGGAAGTGGGATAGGCTGACCTCACTACTGAAGGTTCCCACCCCCTGGAAGTGGGATAGGCTGACCTCACTACTGAAGGTTCCCACCCCCTGGAAGTGGGATAGGCTGACCTCACTACTGAAGGTTCCCACCCCCTGGAAGTGGGATAGGCTGACCTCACTACTGGAGGTTCCCACCCCCTGGAAGTGGGATAGGCTGACCTCACTACTGGAGGTTCCCACCCCCTGGAAGTGGGATTGGCTGACCTCTGGGGTAGATGTTCCCACCCTCTGGAAGTGGGATCAGCTGACCTCACTACTGGAGGTTCCCACCCCCTGGACATGAAATCGACCAACCTCCCCATTGGATGTGGGATTGGCCAGAAATTAGGTTGGCCAGAAGCAACCTTTGAGTTGATGGGGGTGTATGTCCATCAGCAGCAGAGATTAGGTTAGCTTTGATTTCCAGCAAACCCCCTGGAAGTTACAACATCTAAATTGTATCTACAAACCCTGTCCCAGAGCTCTCTTGGTTGGTTGCTGACATCTGCTTGGTCTCTTGCCCTCTTTCTCCTGAGCCCCATCTTCCCTTGAACCCCCCTTTGTCATCTTCTTCCTCTCAACATTCCCACTGCCTCCCCTTTTCCTTTTCCTTTTCTCCTGGGGTATATCCTCTAGTTCCTTTTCCTCACCACCCCTCCCACTGTCACCAGAGTGCTCTGCATCTCCACCAGTTTTTTTCCCAGAGCCTCCCTGTTCCTCTGAGTCACCAGAATTTTGCACCAACCTTGCAATTACCACCCCCACTGCAGCCATAACATCTTTTCCTCTGCTGATATCAAGCTTAGAGTCCAGCAAGAAACCCAGATTAGCAACTTCTGGGTCATCCTCTTCTACTTCCTGTGCCCTCTTACACTCCCTCCACAACATACCAAATCCAAGTACCACAGGAAGACCTTTCACCCTGGAAGTAAACCTCTGGGATTGCAATTGACCCAGTGCCTTCCAGAAGGAACCCCCATTGGCATGGATCTCTTGAGGCAGATACTGGGCACTCCAAGTCCATGATGCCCATTCAGGCAACCCTACCCTGGGTTCCATATCAGGTTCCTGTGTGATATGTTTGTTAGCCTAGTCTTTGATGCAAGATTGGCACTTACTGTCTCTGGTAAGGCATATACAAGATCAATGAGATCCTGGTACCTGGGCATGATGGAAAGGGTCTTTAAAAATTTCATCTGGTCCCCATTGGCATGCCAAGCAGGACTGGAGTCATGAGGGGTATTTTGAGATGAGGAGGCCCCAGAGTCAAGCCTATCTTCCTGGACAACCAGAGTTACCTTGGATGGCCTTTCCCCACCAGTTTCCAACTCTGCCTCTGAGTCTGATGCTCCAGCCACTCCACTGGGCTCCCCCCCGGCTTCATCATCATCATCAGGGCTCACCCACACTCTTTTTTTCCCACTGGTTTTCCAGTTAAAGGGCCTTCCCAAAGGCTTGTTGTCCTTTTTGCAATTGATAAATGAAATGATCACCTTGTCCTCATTCTCTAGGGAATGCCAATGATTCCAAAGCAACCTAAGGTCAGCCTTGGTCCATTTTGAAGGATCCTTCATCACAAATCCATCTGGGATGGATGTTGAATCCAACTGAAAATGCATGGGGGGATCAAGACCATACCATAGGCTGCTTGGAAGACAGCTCTAGCCAAACTCTGCTGGGCCTTCAGCTTCTGCCCAGTAAAAGCTGGCACCTGGGGGTTTCCTTCATCATCCAGGGCTATTTCCACTGCTTGCTTCTTGTCATTCAAATCTTCTTCACCTAAGAATGGGATCAAACTAGGTACATATCTTGATAGACAATGCTCCTTACCAGGTTCAGTCAGAAGATAATCTGTTAACATTTGCTCCCCTTTCAGCACCCAATCCTTGGTGGGCTCCAAAGACACAGAGAAGGCCTTCTTGCCATCTGGGGGTGCTGTCTCCAAAATACATCTCTTTGTGAGCATTGGATAGACCAGGGGAAGGGGGACTTACATAGCCATCTTGATCTGAGCATCTGGGGTCTCATGGGAAGCAAACATTACTACATGCACCCCCATGGTGCTCCAAAGTGTTTCTGTGAACTCTTTAGCCATGCTGTGGAAGTTTTGTCTCCAGTACCTGTGATTTTGAAAGGTTAGGGTAAGGCCTGCAAAGCAGGGGGGCACCTATGATTCATGAGTCCCTTTGGGAGCACCCAACATATTCCACTTCTCAGCAGCCCTCCCAGCTTCAGCTTTTTTATCATTGGAAACAGACTCCCACCACTGTTGGATGATTTTGGTCCTCTGGCCTATGGTATCAGGGTCCTTGGTATCCCTCCTCTCCCTATCATAGGCATCCATGTCCTCCTTGAAGAGCTGCTGACCTGCAGTAAATTCAGTAAAGGGTTTTCTGTAGTCACCTGCCTTCAAAGGTCTCATTCTCTCCTCTCTGGCATCCTCACCCCCACCAGTCTCTTCCTTCCTCTTTTCTGCTACAGCCAGGATGTGCTGGATGATGTTCTCCTCATCATCTTGGTCATTGGGGTCCAGTTCTGGAAGAAACTTCCTTCTGATGGCCTAGATAAGCTTGAGATATGTTAAACTTGATAAAACTATTATCATACCACTCTCAAATTCTGTGGCAATGCCACAGATCCCTCAGATGCATGCTGAAGGATCTTGGACTTCACCTGGGCCAGGATCTCAGCCCTGAGGTCAGAATTTCCTTGGGCATCTTTGAACTTGCCTACATAGGAAGACAGGAGATCAGAGTAGACTTCAGACCAGTCAGCCATTTTGTCAAATCACAGGGAGGTGAATAAGGCAGTAGAGGATTTGTGGAGTGCAGTGGCAAGATGAAAATTTTAGGCCCTTCCTAATTTAGGCAGGAGGTTAAAAATGTTGGCTGTTGCCAGCCATCACTCATTCAGGGAAACTACCATGTTGAGATGTTTGTTTTGACATATTTGCTTTTCACTCCGAACCAGATACCAAGTTCCAAGACAACAGTAGACCAAAATATACCCCTGTTCTAAATACAATCCATTTCTTTACCTTGGAACATCAACCTGGCCTTTTTGGCAAAGTCACCCCACAACCCCATCTGCATATTAGCATAAGCTTCCATCCCTGGCTCAGTGGATTGCCCTGCCCTTTCCTCCCATATGTTTCTCTGGAACTCAAACCATAAGGTGGTCCAAAGCATCTCATGCCTGACCAATGACAATTCTTCTTTCCATCTGTCCCTTCTTGCCCTGGCTTTGAGCCAATTGATCCTATAAACTGCCATGCAATTTATTAGTAATATGTCTCCATACAGTATTCACACTTACACTCTTCCATCAAGCCCCCACTGTCCACATTCCTCTGACCCTGTCACCTTCCATCATCCAAAACCATGCCATTTTACTGGTCCCTTGACCAAACCTGTTCTCCTCTGTCACCTCTTTACTCACTGCAAGGTCCTGAGGAAGAATTTCCTGGTATTTTTCTCTGATGCTAACATTAGGTTCCAGTTGAAGAATGGCCTGCCTAGACCTTTGATAACTTCTGACATGCTTGTTTATTCTGGACACCACATTTTGGATCTCCTTCTTGGTTCTGGTACCCTCCCTGGTGGAATTTGCATTCTGAAAATTCTGCCAATATAACATTGCCTTGTTGCCCAGGTCAGTGTGAAGCCCCTCTAAACAATCATTAGCTTGCCCAATCCTGAGTTCCATTTCTTCTTTGAGAAGGGCATGAATGCCAAGCTCTGTCAGTTTGGCTGCTCCAATGGATGAGGGCATCCATATACTCATGACTTCAGCAGCCAAGTCTCCTTCCTCTTCTGCAGCCTCCCAGTCCTCCTCTCCATCTTCCCAGAACTCCCCTTCATCTTCCACTTCTTCATGCCCAAGGAATGCTGGATCATCCTGGGAAATGAAAACATCATCTACCTCCAAACCTTCAAGAAAGGCTTGTCCCTTGCCATTGAATTTCTCAATTCTGGCAGAAAGTCTCTGTCTCTTCTCAGAGACTTTGACTTCTTGTCTTGTAGACATGAGACTGGGAAGCTGATGGAGCTCAGATCTTAGCTGGTCTCTGCAGGAGGTCTGGTTAGCAAGCTATCACCTCAGGGAACAACAGTCCTTACTGTGCATCCTCTATGCTGATTCCTTCTGCAAGCCAAGCCACAGAACCAAGGTTTCCTGAGGATGAAGGTGGATTTTTCATGAGCTTTAACTGCACTTCACCCATGGTAGGGGCTACAGATCATCAGACAGGCCCATGGTTGGGATAAACTGACTGACCTTTGTCCCCTTTCAACAAATAAATTTCTAGGGCCACCCCTCAATCTGCCTCTGCCTCTACAGCATCTGATTCCCATCCTGTAACCTTACTAGGGTCTAGGACAGCTGTCAACTGCTCATATGCCTGATTCATTTCCTCCAGACACTTGTTTGAAGTCTTGTATTTTTTTAGCAGTGAAGGGACTGAGAAGAACAGTGTAAACTCTCTTCTCTTTGAAGAGGAGATCTCTCACCTATGCCCACAATTTTTTTCCAGTTAGAATCTCTCATATGATCATCATACACCTCTTGTCTGTGGGCTTGAGTCATAGACCTTGCAGTTGGAGAGATCTTATTGAATGGAGCCCACAATGTCTCCAAAATTTTACCATCCAGGTGGCCAGCACCCTTGACAAAGTTGAGGCTATATCTTGGAAAGCGAGAGAGTTTGTGGGCAGCCAGATGAAACTTCCCCACAGCAGGAATGATTTGGAGACCAGGTGGAAGAGTGAGAGAGCAGCTGGACTTTACCTGACTCCAGAAGTTGATACTCCATTGGCACCCTACATCATAAATGACAAGGGCCTTTTGGATGCTTTGGGAATGGTAATCAAGAGCATTGCAGATGGAGTAGTCAGTGTTCATATACCTGGCCCAAAGTGAGCTCCAATGCATCCATTCTGCCTGACAAGCCAACTCACCTTTCCCCTTTTTGAAAATCCACCACAGAATGGGGAAAAAAGCAACCATGTCTTGCACAGGCTGTTGCACCAATGCCAGTGGACCAGAGATTGGACTTGTTGATATTGGCAGCATTGATTGCCCTGTGATTGCTGCAGGTGGATCTCTAACAGTATGGCAGGTCTTTTATATTCCAGGGCCTTCAAGCCTCCAATTACTTACCTCCTTGTTATCCAAAGACTGCTGGAGATGAGTCTGATAGGGTGCCTCAGAAACCATGTAGCCTTTTCCATCTGATAATGACACATCCAGCTCTGGCTTGTTCATTTTCATATGCTGTGCAGTGAAGTTGCCATCCATCACATATTGCCTCATCACAGTGTCACTGAAGGGGGTTAGAAATGGAATGCCTATGGATTAAAGGCCCCTTACCTGCTGTAGCAAGTTCTCCAATCTGGAGGTAAATTAATACCTGGTTGTGGGCAAGCAGGGCAAAAGAGTGCAAGTCCTCCCTGCCCAGGATCTTGCTCAGAATCATGACCAAACCCAAACCATTTCCTATGTTTCAAATCCCTCCACAGTTGGGACACCCACATCAGCTCTTGGTACCGGTCCTGAATGGAGAGGAAAGTATTAATGCAAGCCACTCAATGGGGAATAGCACTCAACTGGTACCCTGTCAGGAAAAGCATTATTGGTGAACCTCTTCAGCTTCTGATAGAAACTCATAGCTGAGGTCTTGCACTCCAAAGCATCAATAAGAAAGTGATTGAGGACATCAAAGGTGAAAGCAGTTCTAGGGCTTTGTTATGCTGGCTGGAAAGAGTCTTTCCCTGAGTAAATGAAGGTGCCAGTCTGTGGAATCAGATCCAGGGCAGCTGCACCAGCAAAACTCATGGGTGAAAATTCCTTCACTGTGCATGATGGTCATTTGTGACTGAGATGACCTCCTGGCACCAAATGTTATCAGAAGACTGCAGGAAATGAATGCCACTGACCTGTAATTGGGCAGCCCTTCCCCAGAAAGGTAGCCCAAATCCTCTGGATCTGTATTGGGCATGGGAATCACCTCATTGCAAGGGCATGGACCACCCCCATGGCCAATGTGCCAAAGGAATCCAAGTTCCATCAAGGAAGCAGTCTGGTAATGGGTACCATTCCACTTTTGTACCTTGTGGAAGGGGAGATTTTGGTGAGCTTCCACAGCACAGGGGCCACACCAGGCATGCATGCCTGAGCAGGACATGCACCAGATACTTCCTTCTGCCTGTCTGCACTGCTCACATATCCCTGCCTTAGCCAGCTGCTCTCCTTCCAGAATGACTTTGATATAATCTGTTCTCCAAGGCAGCCATTCTCTCATAAAGTCATTCTGACTCTGTTGAAATTTTATTTAGCCCATGTACCACTAAGTAAGACTACTTACCTTGGTGACCCTCCTGCTGGTCAGGGCATCATCCCCTTCATTCCAGTCTGAGCCAGGAATCTCAAGGGAGTCTGGGAAGTCAGAAAAATTGACAATTTGGGAGGCTATAGTCCTTGGGGCTTCTTGGAGTCAAAGGTCCACTCTGAGAGGGGAGGTACAGGTGCCTGGCATCAACTTCCTTGTATGTAAGCTTTCCTCTCCTGGTCCTGGTTGGTTCAAGGCACATATAATGAACTTTGGCCAGACCATTTTCCCAGCACCTTGTACTTTCTCCTATGCATGTGAAAAGCAGATGATGGTAGAAAACTAAGAGGAGTTGGGAACTGCTGAAAAACTACACATGGCCTAAAAAATTCATTGGGCAAATAGAACACAACAAGATGCAGAACCACAGGAGGGAGGTTTAGTTGTGGCTAAGAACAGAAGACATAATGTCCCTCTGGACAGCCCAGGTAGGCCTGGTGACCTGGAGTCTGTCATGCACCCTGTCCTTCATGTAGTGGACAATGGCAATCCTTTCACCCCTTCCCCACTTTGGAACTGAATGTGAGAGAATTTTTCCAGCCAAGAAAATCATGGTGCCTGGTAAATACAAAATCTTTGCCCCCAAGTCTGGCACCAAGAAATTAGCATCATGGGAGCCCAAGCTGACCAACAAATCCAAAAGGGTGGGGGCAGAGCCAGCATCTTCATGGAGAGGAGTTTCCTGGTTGACAATGACATTGATGTTGGTATAGACAGATGGCCAGTCCAAGGGATCCTCATTCAGCACACTGCCAGTCTTTGCAGAGACAACTTCTGAGCCAGCCCTGGCAAGGTCAGGCAAAGTGACCATTGTAATGTCACTCCAGAACTTTTCAACATGGGCAATCTGCTGGAGCCATTTTCTTGTAGCTTTCCTCTTGAGGGAAGCACTTTGGTGCAGATTGTCCACAAGCCTCCTCAGGGATCTCAGTGACAGTTTAACAGATGAGAGGGAGTAGCCAACATGGTGAGCCTGCATGAAGGTGGCTGGAGACATGGAGATCCTGCCATGGCCATAGATGGGAGAGTCCACAGGTTGATGTTGATGACCATAACATTTGTTAACCTTGGACAGGTCCTTGGGCTTGTGCTTGGACTTTGACCTGAGGGAGTCCTTGATGGAGAGGTGAAGTTCACTGAGAAGTTGCTGTATGAAAAGAGGTGAAAGAAAGGCCAATAGAGAGGGAAAACACACAATCCTTGCACCATGGATGATTCCTGGCAAATACCATACCAGGAGCCTGCCATGCCTATTGAGAACTGTGGCTGGAGCATCCAGAGAGCCAATGTTGGGGTGTTCAAAATAGATAAACATGTCCTTGGCAGTGGGCAAAGGATCCACAAACTGATCAACATCCCAATCAACCACATCTGCAAGGAGTGAGAGGTGAATTGTTTTGGATGGGAGAGTCACCCTACAGGGATTCAAGATTGCATGTGAAATGACAGCAGCAGCCAATCTGACTTCCAGGGAAGTGATAGCATCATCAAGAAGATCAGGTTGTTGGAGGGTTGCCTGGGCATTGGCCAAGAGGGAGAGGGCTTGGAGTCTATGAAGATGTCACCAGAAGGTTTGGAGATAGGAAGAGGCAGGGAGCTGACCTGGGCTTGGTGAGGTGGTCCCTTGTGAGAACAGTGCCAGATGAGAAGTTGGGGTTGGCCCCAAATGCAGTCTTAAGCATGGAAGCAACAGTAGCAGTCAAAGACATTTGGAGATCCATGAGGGGAACTGGGTTGGATTGAGGAAGGAAGGAAGGTGGAGAATGAAAAAATTGAAGGGTGGGAAAGACATAGAAAGTTCCAGAAAGATTTGAATGAGGGAAGGCATTGTCACTTGAGGCCCCAGGGTATTATCAGTGTCCATCAAATAGTATTTATTATCTGATCCAGAAGTTGCTCAGTCTCCAGGTGTAACCTTCCCTCATGAAGGCACTCCCTGGCACCTGGTTTGTGGTAGTGACCAGGCTCTGGTTCTGCCAATTATGAATAGTCCTGAGGGCTTGAACATAATTGTAGAATTGGATTGGGGTGCTGCAGATATGCAGTGAATGCAATATGAACATAAAACCCCAGTGCCACCAGTGAAATGAAGAATACAATTGTTTCCAGCAACTACACCTCTGTCAGAGAATAAGTAGGGCTTCCAAAAGAAAAAGGTAGATGAACAGACCTGGTAACTAAAATATCTCATTGATACCTGTGGGCCAGCCTCCTGCTTCCCTGAACAAAATGGCCACTGACCTCATTAGAGGACTCCAAATTGTGAAATAATTCACTAGACACATCTTCTGGAATCTGATCAACTCCAGGCAGGTACGCTCCTATGCATGGTGCTCTGCCATGTGTTTAGTAAAATGGTACCTTGAAGCCTTTGTCTCTAGGTCCATAGTACCAGCACCACACTACTGGTACTTGATACCCAATTTTTAATTTAGCAGGGAAAAGGTACTAATACATTACAGGGAGATGTTTACAGTAGACAGTGGGCAAAAAGACTTCACAACTTGGAAAAATGTATGTACTTAAAAGACTCAGAAGACTTGCAAAAAGATCAACAACATAAATTTGTATTAGGGTTAGGGGAAGAAGACTTGCAAAAAAGAAATCAATCCTATACCTCCAATTAGGCAATTTGCATTAGGGTTAGGGTTAGAGCAGTGATGGGTCAAAAAGATTTGACAGAGAACTGACATCCCCATATTTAACGAAAGACAATCAATTCTGATATTCTGCTACTTATGTATCTAAGTTACATTGCACAAAATACACATGCAGAAAAAGTTCCAAGTGGAACTGAGACTTCCCTGCATCCCAGAGGGGGCCCTCCCCTAGGAGTACAGTTACATCTCCAGAGAAAATGTCCTCAAATGCAACCAAAAACCCCCCAAAAGCGCAGTAGCCTTTAAACTAGAGTCAGTTCCTTCAATGACCAACAGTAGACACATACCTGGGGTAAAAGATGCCAAAAGCACAACAGTAGTAAAAAATCTAGTGAAGGTGATCAATTGCAAAGTAAAGGAAATGAAAATGAGCTTAACTTACCTTGTATCACAAACAAAGGCACAACTCATGGAAACTAATAGTAATCCCCCAGTACCCTAAGTAGAGAAGCTGGCCCACATGAGTGGGCACAGATGAAAATCCCCCAGATCCCAAGTTGCTAGCCCACATGAGTGGGCATAGATGAAAACCCCCAGAACCTCATAGATAAAAAAAATCCCCCAGAACCCACAAGGTTCCCCAGTCAGATGTCATGCTGGCCAGGCACAACAGATGACTGAGGGACTTCCCTCCCCTGTCCAGTGCCTGCAGTACACTTTCAAGGGGGAGGGAATCTGCAAAGACAAGGAGGATCAGAAAAAGAAGAAAAAAAGAAGAACCTTGGAAACAAAATTGTGACGAGGGACTTGTGGGTTGACAAGGAGGGTCGAGAGAGGTGGGAGGGAGCATCGAGAGGGAGGGAGCATCGAGGGGGGAGGGAAAGTGACAAAGGTGTGGTGTCAGCATGCATGCCAGGTTTATAAGGGAACATGTTGTTTGTGTTTATTTGCTGTGCCATTGAATGCTATTGGTAAATTCTGTCAGTTGTGAGTGAATTAGCCACCAGCTGTTGTGCCAGATATTCACTCCTGTGCAACAGGTACTGGATATTTGGTCCCATACTACAGGTATTTGGTCCTGTACCTGACATCTGGTACAGGTACTGGATATTTGGTCCTGTACCTGATATTTGGTCCTGCCAGGACTGAATATGTACCCAATATACCAAGATTGCTGACCAACCAATTGCAGGCAGGGCTCTCAGCTGCCCATTGTGATTGTGAAATCATGTGTCATGTGTCACCATTCAGTATTAAGCAGAATGGCTGCTGATCTAGCACAAATCTCCTAATCAACTTATCATTATTATTGACAAGTGATGCCCTAATACATAGCTATTGTATATTGTACTTGGTATGCAAAATTGGTGACTGCACAACCAAATGTCACTTGCCATCTGGATCACTGGAGTTACATACAATTTGTTTGATCACTTGCTGAGGGCCAGTGACATGTGTCACTGCAGAGCAGAATTACTGATGTTAATTTGGATCAATTAATATTGATTACCATATACTGGTTCTGCTACTAATCTGCAAAACTACCTGAGGGGCTGTACTGAAAGAGTGATGTGTCACATTGTGACACAGTCACTGCACAGGGTCCACATTGGGCATTCAGTTCCTTAGTCATGTCACTTATCCCCTGAACTATCCCCATGTGTGTCTGGGCTGCTGGAGTAAAGACTGCATGTAACAGGATCCCCTCAGACGAGATAATAACCATGTTTTGGTAATAATCTGCATAGTTACTATTGCCAGTAGGAATTACATATGAATGAATACAGTTTTTGTGAGCAAAGATTGGTGGATCTGCAATATGGGTACAGGCACAATTTGACTTCAATGAGCCTGAAATACCAGGGCTGCCACCAACATACTCATTTGATGTCAGCTCTACTGTGACATCGGCTATCCCATCAGGCCCAGCATCTGATGCATTCAGTTGCCCAGTGACTCAATCACTTGTCCCCCATGTTCACTGGAGCAAAGACTGCATGTAGCACTAGTAGGACCAGTTAATAACCATTTTTGGTAATAATGTACATAGTTTCTATTGCTAGTAGGAGTTACATATGGATGAACACAGTTTTTTGTGAATGAAGATGATTGGTGGATCAAAATTACTGGTACAGGCACAATGTGATTTGAATGAGCCAAAGTACCAGGCTGCCGCCAATCAGCATTTGACATCAGCCCCACCAGCTGTCCCATCAACCCAGCATCTGACCTTCAGTTCTGCAATCATGTTGCTTATCCCATGACCCCTGTTCACCTGTCATGTGACCTCACCAAACATGCCACAACAGTCTGAGCAGCTGCACCCAAGCTTCATAAATACTGTTTCCCTTTCGACTGTCCCCCTCCCTCTGCTTGCCACCTTTCCATGCCAAAAAAGCTGCATGCTCTCAGTGCTGTGTTCCCCCCCCCTCACCCTCTTCCCCTCCCCCTTCTCCAAACCAAAAAAAAGGTACATGATTTCCTTCTCCACATCCTTTCACTAATCTTTTTTGTTTTCATCTAGCTTCATAATTCTTGGGTGTTGGTGCCTTCCCCCCCCTCTCCTCAGCACTGTCCACCCAAAAACAAAAGTACATGTGATTTTTTAGTTCTTTTTCAGGTGCATCTCCCCCCCTACTCACCACTTTTCTTCCATCTAGCTTCATTGTCTCCCCCCTTCCTCCCACCCACTCTGTCCAAGCCAAAACAAGGTATGTAAGTTCTAAGCTGCCTCTCACATTTATCCTAGCTCACTGACAGGTCTTCTTAGCTGCTCCCTCCCTCTCCCACCACCCTCCATGTCATACACAAAATAAAGTAAGTCATCCTACCTACTTTGCCCCTGTCTTCCTTGTCTAGAAGTGTATGCACTTATGTATCTATATGTATGTAACCACATAATAATCGTTCAATCTAATATACATGTTTATATTGATGATTCTGTTCCTTGTTCCATTATATTCCCAGTCAGCTGGGGTTTACCCATGTTCTGTCGTTGTCTCCCTCCCCTGAGTAATCTGGTTGCGTGGTACTGACCTTGTGCTGCTAGACTACTGTGGCAAGGACAAAGCAAACTTCCAAGAGGAATGTTGGTGACAAGCCTGGCAGAGTCTCTCTGGTCAATTTACAAGCCAAGGAGCAACAAGCTGCCCAGGCTGCCAATGCCAATGCCATCAGGGCTCCACTTCAAGTCAAGAAGAGGAGGATAAGGAATTCTGTGAGTTTACTCTTTCCTCTGATCATGATATTCATATCTTCATTTCAGTTCCTGTCTCATGTGTAGGGATGGGGGCACTTTATGGGAGTGTGATGTCATGGGCTGCTGGAGGGCGGTCTGCAACAAGTGTCTGGTGGTTCCAGAGGATTCCCTTCAACAGATCACCCAGCCTGGTGTCTCCTTTAGGTATGTTCACCCACCACCCTATTTCATCACCTCAAGTCCTTTTGTTTCTCCTCAGGTGTGTCAGTTGTCATTGGAAGAGGACCAGACATGGAACTCCTCAGCCCTACTATGTAGGTCCATCCAAACTTCCCCCATCCAGCCTAACTCCAAATACAGGGCTTCTATCTGGGTGATGAGCAGTGTCCTCAGCAAGCCCCCTGCTGTCATGGGCACATTCCAGCATGCCACCACCTCTGAAGTGGCTACCCTTTCCACAGCCATCATCCACCTTCACCTGGATGGCTTGACCCTGGACCCTGACCCAGTCCATATCATCCAATCCATGATACAAGGGTAATTTCAAACAAGAGGGCACTTACAATTTTGCACAGTTGCCTTATGACTCAGGAACCTCAGGAGTCTAGGGCTGCCTATGAAACTGCAGCTGAAGTGCTCTCTTCCTTCCTGGCCCCTTATGGAAGGGTGGTTCTCTTCTTCACTACCCACAGTGAAGAACAAAGTGGGGATCTCTTTGCCTGGAAGTAGGGATGGGCAGGTATTTGTCTCAAGGGTCTTTGAGGTGAGTCACCATTTCTCAATCTTTACTCTCACCTCACCATCTCCAGGTTTTAGAGGCTCTCCTCACACCCCTCTCCAAGGTTGTTGAGGGAGGTGACCTCATCTTCCTGGTGTGTGGATATCTGGTCAAGCATCAGGAGAGTTTTGCAAGACCTCAAGTCAGCCATGAACCAGTAAGTGTCCTCTCCATCTGAGCACTTATTTATCACTCATCACCATTCCAGCTTCAAGCCAAGGTCAATGCTCCTCTTTGATGCAGACAGGTTACTCCCTGTCAACACCATTCCTTTCCTCATGAGTGTTTTGGACCTTACCATCATCCAAGGCTTTCAACAGATGGATAAGACAGTCAAGGCTGCCCTCAAGGACTGTGGGGTGCTGGGTAGACACTCAAACATCATCCTCATGTTTTGGGGGTCTCAAGGAGGGAGGGTATTGGTGGAAAGGTACATTTGGACTGACAAGTTCATCAAACCTTGGGGTCAGAACTTGCCTGCTCAATGCCCTCAGTGTGGGAGCATACAAGAATGGCTGGCTGCTAGTGCTGATTCAACTTATTCCTATCAGTGCCAGTATCCTGATTGTGGGAAGGACTTGGAGGGGACTGCATTGCCACCCAAAACTTATACCATTTCTATGCCTCAAGGAGCCAAAAAATTACTAGATGGAAAAAAGTCATCTGCATGGTTGGTAGAAATCTTGTAAAATACATATACCTCCACAGTACATAAAAGATGGACTGTTTATAAAGAATGAATCCAATGATATGGCCCATACTGCAAGAATGTCCCATCTTTCCTAAGAAAATATGTTGAAAATTATAGAAGAAACAGATCCTTGTTTATTCTGGAGGTTTCATAGCTGATATGCATATATAATTTTGTATGTCTGCTGCATGCTTTGCTGATGCCAGGTTAGGCTTAAGTGAGGTTAGGGAGCTCACCCATGAAATGGTGATGTTGGCCAACACCCCTTCTAGGGAGCTCCCTCATGCTGAGGCCAGGTCAGCCACTGCCACTTCCAGGGGGCTGGGCCATGCTTAGGTGATGTCAGCTGACACCACTTCTAGGGGGCTCCCCCATGCTGAGGCTGCATTGGCTGATACCACTTCCAGGGGGCTCCCTCATGCTGAGGCTAGGCTGGCCAGCACCCCTCTCAGGGGGCTCACCCATCCAGGGCTGACATTGGTTAGTCCCACTTTCAGGGTGAATGTACACTTCAGGTGTCCCAGTTTCAGGACTTTGGTTGACTGAATTATGTGGTTCCTCCTTCACTTGTGCAGAATTGATGGGTCCTGGTCCCAGCTCTACCTTTCCAGAGCTGGAAGTCTCAGGTACAACCAACCCAGGGAATGAGACAACAAGAGTCTTTGGCTGGAGAACCTGGTTGACTGCAGTGATCCTCCATGGGTTGAAGTAACCAAGGCGGATGACAGACACCACTGGCTTCATGCTGCAATAGTCATCAGCAAAACTACAAGTTGCTTAATCTGACTTGATTACTTGGAATTTTGTTACCAAGTCAAAATAAGGTGTCAAGTCACTTAAGTGAATTAAGTAATTATGACTTGGACTGCTTGGGAGCTTGTGTACATTGAACATTTGAATAAGTACTTAAGCAGATTCCAGTCACCAAGGATTTAAGCATGCAAAGTATTGTCAATTTATTAAAATGGTTCAGGGTACTACACTGGTAGCATATGTAGTAAAGGGGGGGGGGGGGAATAGGACAGCTAAGAATGAGATTATGGAGGCATAGGAAAAACAGTCAAAAATCAGTGAGTCAAGATAAAAAGAATTGATAGCATGAAGCTGGCCAATAAGATCCCAGTGCTTCATAGAGTCGATGCATGAACAATGAAGCCAATAGCAGAGATGCCATATGGGGACTGAGGGTATTGGAGGTAGGGTTCAAGGTTGAGGGAGTTGTAGGTGATGGAGTTTATCACCTTTACCTTAGTTGTGGTTCACTGAGCACAGCATTACATAATCCAAAAGCGGACACTTAGCAGTTTATTTTTCCTTACTGCACCTTAGCTTCAACCAACTTGAAGTCTGAGGTGAGACTCATTCCATTCATTATATTGGAACACTTACTTACCTACCTACAGTATATTCCTTTCTATAGGTAGTTAATTATTACAGCTTCAACCAACTTGAAGTCTGAGTATATTCCTTTCTATAGACTTGACAATCCTGCAGCTCATCATCCTCCAAAAGGTTATGAGCTCTGCCTGTGAGTTCTAATCCTAGGAAAATTGAACACATCAAGTCTGGTACAAAGTGTCTACTATGTCTGGACCATCAGCATCCACTTCCAGCCCCTCAAAGGTTCCAGTCTCCACCTCAACAATAACCTCTACTACACCTTTGGGTAAAGCTACTCAAGCCTCCAGTTGACTCTATGACATACTGTCCCTTGAAGACAATGGTTTGAACTTCCAGATGTGGAAGTACTGAATCATGATGATCCTAGATGTCTGTGGACTTTGGGAGCTTGTAGAAGGAAAGTTGAGGGCACCTGATGCAGCAGCTGATCCAGTTGCATGCACAGACTGGCACTACAAGGATAAAGAAGCAAGGGCTCAAATCATGCTTACTCTAAAGGATGACCCACTTAGTGGTGTTCTGCATGCCATGATGGTGGCAGAAGTCTGGAGAAAGCTATGCAAGTGCTATGAAGGCAAAGGGAAACAAATGATAGCCCACCTTATTGGTGAACCATTTCACAGTACCCTAGCAGATGACATCTCAATGGAGATGCAGCTTAATGCCATGTGGCAGAAGGCAACAATCCTAAAGTCTCTTGGATGGCCCCTTGAAGACTCTCTTGTTACCATAGCCATGGCCATCTCCCTTCCAACCTTGTACTCAACCCTTTGCACTATACTCATGCCATCTGATGAGAAACTAACTCCAGACTCTGTCATTTCCCAAGTCTTGATAGAAGAGAAGTCTCACCACACCTCTTTGGCACAAACTGCCCTCATAACAAAGACACCTAACAAAAATGGAAAGAGGAATGATAGGAAAAAGAAAAAGGCTTGTGGCTATTGCAAGATGACAAACCATGTCAAAGATGACTGCTACAAGAAGAAGGCTGATGAGGCAGCCAAGTCCCCATTGCAGGCTGAAAAGGATCAGCCTAAGGAGGACAAACTTGTTGCTAAAGTCACACACATCTCACCTGTTGAAGACAGCACTCTACATCTCTTCATGGCCACTGAAAATGGTGAGAATCTCCACACATGCTGGGTCATAGACTCTGGTGCCTCTGTGAATATGTGCTGTCAGTGGAAATGGTTCACTTCACTAAAGATGCTCTCACCCCTGCAGCCTGTAGTCATTGGCCATGGGAGCACAATTCCTGCTACTGCCATCAGATGGATTGAACTCCATATGGATCTTCCAAATGGGAAGACCAGTAGAATCCTACTACAGAAGGTCTATTTCATTCCAGATCTCAGTGCAAACCTCCTCTTGGTGGCATACCTTGCCACTAGAAATGTCCAGGTCACCTTCATGGGTGGAACATGCTCAATCACTGATGATACAGACACTGTAGGCATGGGTCATCATCAAGGCTCACTCTACATCCTTGCAGCAAGGACTCACTCTCCAAGTCATGGTGCACTTGTTGTACAAGGACTGTCTCCACTACTTGACCCTACCCTTATTTTCCTGGCACTTGCAGCTGCAGCATCAAAGTTTGTAGCTGCACTTGACTTGTGGCATTGATGTCTTGGGCATGTGAACATAAAATCTGTGCTTAAACTAGTCAAAGTGGGAATGGTTGAAGGCATGGAGCTTACTGGCACTGAGCACTCGAACTCTGTATGCCAACCTTGCCTTGAAGAGAAGCAACACTGTAAGGTGATACCCATCAAGTCAAACATTGAAAGCCCAACAGTACTCTACCAGACATACTCTGATGTATGTGGTCCCATGGAGACTACAGCCTGAACTGGACACTGCTACTTTGTAACCTTCATTGATGCTCACTTGCACCACCTTGTGGTTAAACTAATAAAATCTAAGGATGAAGTCTTCCCCTCAGTGAAAGACTACCTCACTCAAGCTGAAGTTGAAACTGGTGAAAAAGGGAATTATTTTCGAAGTGACAGAGGTGGGGAGTATGGCTCAGATGAGTTCAAGACCTACCTCAAGTTGAAAGGGGTCCACCATGAGAAGACAAATGCCTATACCCCACAGGAGAATGGTGTCGCAGAGCAGATGAACCACACACTTGTTGAAAGTGCATGGGCAATGCTAAAAGACACTGGACTGCCAAATAAATACACATAATGTACCTACATTGTACTGTATGACAGGGCCAGCAGAGGCTGACAATTGGCCATGTCCCACAGGCCAGTGGAGGTTGAACCCTACATTGAGTCATCCCCCTGCTGTATGGACCAGCACAGCTTCTATTATCAAATAACACATGAGTAGGCCACAATCAAATTGTCCCTGTAGTACCTGGAGTAGCCTAGTGTGAGATGTCACCTATCCAGTGGCATGCTGTGGCATGTGTAGATCAGCACTGGAAGTTGGCACAAGACCTCAGCATGCATCAGGATAGCTCAGCAGTGCAGTGTTGTATGTATGGCATATGTAGATTGGCACCATGTGGCAATCTGGGGCACATATGACAGAGCATACCATAGCATTTCAGAGCACTCCAGAGCATGCCATGGCCCTCCAGGGTGAGCTGCAGCATATGTTCTGAAGTGAACTGTGGCATGCCAGCCACTCCAAAGTAAATGCCAGAGCATGCCACAGCCCTCTGGGGTAAGCTTCAGCATATGTTCTGAAGCAAACTGTGGCATGCCAGCCACTCTGGAGCAAATTCCAGAGTAAACTGTGGCACATGTGCTGGAGCATGCCATGGCCCTCCAGGGTAAGCTGTGGCATATGTTCTGAAGCAAACTGCAGAAAGCCAGCCACTCCAGAGCAAATTCTGGAGTAAACTGTGGCACATGTGCTGGAGCATACCATAGCATTTCAGAGCACTCCAGAGCATACCATGGCCCTCTGGGGTGAGCTGTGGCATATGTTCCAAAGTGAACTGTGGCAAGCCAGCCACTCCAGAGCAAATGCTGGAGCATGCCATTGTCCTCCAGGGTAAGCTGTGGCATGCCAGCCACTCTGGAGCAAATTCCAGAGCACACTGCAGCACATGTGCCAGAGCATTCCATAGCATTTCAGAGCACTCCAGAGCAGGCCATGGCCCTCTGGGGTAAGCTTCAGCATATGTTCCAATGCAAACTGCAGCATGCCAGCCACTCCAGAGCAAATTTTGGAGTAAACTGTGGCACATGTGCTGGAGCATGCCATGGCCCTCTGGGATAAGCTGCAGCATGCCAGCCACTCTGGAGCAAATTCCAGAGTAAACTGCAGCACATGTGCCAGAGCATACCATAGCATTCCAGAGCACTCTGGAGCAGGCCATGGCCCTCCAGAATAAGCTGCAGCTTATGTTCTGAACCAAACTGTGTCATGGCAGACACCCTGGAGCAAATTCTGGAGCAAACTGTGGCACATATGCCAGAGCATACCCATAGCATTTTGGAGCACTCTGGAGTAAACTGTGACACCAACCTACATTGGCCACCCTTTGGCAGTGACCTCTATACATTCACCAGCCTTGGCACAGCCCCTATCTCATTGGCCTCCATCAGCCATCCTTCAGCAGTGACCCCTATATACATCAGCCAGGTCTTGACAGTGCCAAGCCATGTCACACCATGCCAAGCTCTAGTGTCAGCTCTGAGTGTCATTCACAGTGCTGCATAGTCATATAGTACTCTGAAATTCTACAGGTTGTCTGCAGAATGGCAGAACAGGATGGACACTTGGTAATAAAACTACAGGCACTGAATGATATAGGAAACAATGCTAGTGGCATGGTGCACTACCAAAATGTTGGTAATCAACTAGTAGACCCTGCTACACTTGTGCAGACACTACTACAGTTGTGGTAATGAAACATGTAGACACCACTAACAGCATACTGCAATACTAGTAAAATAGCAGACACTAATAAATTGTTGGTAATCAACTAGTGGACCCTGCTACACTTTTGGTAATAAAAAGGGTGCACACTGGTAATCAAACTGTGGACAGTGCAGCATGCTCTGACACATGTGCCACAGTTTACTCTGGAATTTGCTCTGGAGAGGCCAGAATGCTGCAGTTTGCTTTGGAACATATGCCAAAGCTTACCCTGGAGGGCCATGGCCTGCTCTGCATCAGTAAACCACTTTGTGAGCTGGTAGTCCTAAGGAATCTGTCCAGTGCTGGACAGCTCTGGACAGCTCTGGCCAGCAAAAGTGATTTACTGATGTGGAGTGCTCCAAAATGCTATGGTTTGCTCTGGCACATATGCCACAGTTTTTTCTGGCATTTGCTCCAGAATTTTCTCTGGAGTGGCTGGCATGCCACAGTTTGCT